CCCTGCCCACTGCCTCGGGAGTAGGAAAGGTGTCCAGCCCCTAGGCTTTGGCTGGCATCTGGGTGCCAACAGGACAGAGCCTGGTAAGAGGAAGGAGTTCAGCAACTAGACCACCACCTCCTGGCCCTGGACACCCCTGGCACCATGCTGTGTCCCTGGGATGGCCATTGCGTGCTGGATCCCAGAGGGCTGGGAGTGGGAGTGGCAGGCAACTGTGCGCCATGCATCACGTTCAAGTGCTCAACTGCAGTGGACACCACCAGGTCCAGCTGGGCTGCCACAACCTGCTGGATGACAGACATGGCTCAGGGCATCCACATTAGCCACGTCTCCTCTGCCCAGGGCTGGGCCCAGCCTTGACCTTTGATGGAGCCTGCCCAGATCACAGACTCTGAGACGGGCCTGGGCCTGCCGACCCTTCAGCCCCAGCTGAGGAGTATCTGCCATTCCTCGGGCCAGGGCAAAGTGCACTATGGGGACAGGAACACAGCTGATCCCTGTGTTGGACTGCAGTCCAGCGATGTGTGGGCCAGAGACCAGCCTGTGACTGCAGGCTTTCTGCTGGGTTCTGGGCACCGGGAGAGCGATGAAGGCTCCCGCCTGGGGTCCCGGGGCTGCTCGTCTGTGATGGCATGCTTCATGGTGTCACATCACCAGCCCCAGGGCCCCGGGGCATCCCCCAAAGCCCCTTGCTCTTCAGCAAGCGCATGTCCCCAAGAACACAGAATATTCTTGCAAAAAGGTGTTCATGTACATACACAAATTCTATGTGTGCTTGGTCCATTCTGGGCAAGGAGACTGTTTTCAGAAGGTTTATTATTATTGTTTTTATTATTTGAAAGTCAGAGTTACACAGAGAGAGGAGAGGCAGAGAAAAAGAGAGAGAGAGAGATGGCTGCAATGGCTGGAGCTGTGCCGATTTGAAGCCAAGAGCCAGGAGCTTCTACCGGGTCTCCCAAGTCCCAGGCCATAGCAGAGAGCTGGATCAGAAGTGGAGCAGCCGGGTCTTGAACCGGCATCCACATGGGATGCCAGCGCTTCAGGCCAGGGCATTAACCTGCTGCGCCACAGCGCTGGCCCCTTCAGAAGTTTTTAACGTGCTATTATTACTGAAAGTCCGGTCCTTGTCAACGGTGCCAAATCCGAATAACAAGGATAAGTTTTGAGGTAAAGGGAAAGCGTAAGCTCATGACAGCTTAGGAAGCAGCAGACTGACTCTCAAGAACTGCTGTCGTGGAGGGAAGATGGGTCAGGGCGGTTACGTTCAGAAGGAGAGCTGTGCTTGGGAGGACTCGGGAGTCAGAGGCAGCGGCCACAACCGAAACTGGGCGGTAGGCCCTACAAGAGCAGGCTTCTCTGTTTTGTTTTAACGCACCTCAAGCATCCGTGCACTTTCTAGAGAAACTTGAAGAGAACGGGTGGCTTGATCTTAACTTGGGTGGGTCACGACAGCTCGTCCTGCAAGGGAGTGTAGCTGCGGAGCATGATTCGGCTGGACTCGGAGGCACAGACTGCGGGAGGAGATTCTAGCACTTCCTGGAGCACAATGAGGCGTACTCGCCCTGAAATTTGTGACTGGCCAGGCTTACTGTGCCTTAGGTCACCTGTACCCCTTTACACCCTGTTACATACAGGCTGGGTGGGTTTTTCTGTAGGCAAACTGGGCGCATATTTGTTGGGGATAAGGATGCCCGGCACCTGGGGAACAGTGCTCCTGGCTGTGCCAGGAGGGGCTTCCAGGAAGAGACGAGTGCCCGCATCACCAGCCTGGGACGGTGACTCCTGACCCGCTGAGGACCCAAAGGCAGAGGAAGCCGTCCTGGGCACTTGCGGAGTGCACCAGCAGAGAGCGCTCTCCCTGCCTCCCACATCGCTCACGTCACACACAGCTGACTGCCCAACTAAGATGAGGACAAGCAACTAGAGGGTGGCATCAGTCACTGGTGACCTTGATATGAGAATCGCGTACAAAAAATATAGACAGCTCTTGCAAAAAATTCTGCTAGGAAAGATCCAATGAAATGAAGAAAAACTTGGGAAGAGAAACAGGGAAGGGGTGATGTGGCAGTGCTCCCGAGCACACAGGGAAGGGGTGATGTGGCAGTGCTCCCGAGCACACAGAGGCGCCTGGTCTGCAGCAAAACACATGGGCTGTGGACAGCAGTGCAGCAGCAACGTGTGGCCCCCAGGCCTGGTCCCCGTCACCAGTGCTGAGTCAGCACAAGGCAGGTCTGACAACAGTGGGAGCCACTGGCAGCCGACGGGGCAGCCGAGTGGCACCTCGAGGAAACGCCGTCCGTCCGAGTGAAGACGGGTCAGGGTTTGGAGTTCAGAAGGGGGAGCTCGGGAGGACCAGCCTGAGGACACGTCAGGACTCGGGAGCAGGGCTCAGGAGCCAAGGGCCACGCACACAAAGCAGCGGTGGCTCCGACAACTGGAGGTTTGTCAGCAACCGCAGACGTCAGTGCAGCCGCTTGAGAAACGGCCAGGCCGGCGCCGCGGCTCACTAGGCTAATCCTCCACCTTCGGTGCCGGCACCCCGGGTTCTAGTCCCGGTCAGGGCGCCGGATTCTGTCCCGGTTGCCCCTCTTCCAGGCCAGCTCTCTGCTGTGGCCCGGGAGGGCAGTGGAGGATAGCCCAAGTGCTTGGGCCCTGCACCCCATGGGAGACCAGGAGAAGCACCTGGCTCCTGCCATCGGATCAGCGCGGTGCGCCGGCTGCAGTGGCCATTGGAGGATGAACCAACGGCAAAGGAAGACCTTTCTCGCTATCTCTCTCTCTCACTGTCCACTCTGCCTGTCAAAAAAAAAAAAAAAGAAAAGAAAAAGAAAAAGAGACGGGCCACAGGAGAGCTGATGGCTTCCTTCCTCAGCAAGGCATGTGACTTCTGCACAATGGCGCATGCGCACATACCTGGTGCCAGGCACGGCACCGACAGTGGGATCTTAACATGGGTGGGACACAACAGCTCGTTTTGGCTGGAAATTAGAGATTGCCGCGTTTCGTGAACAACGCGATTAGTAAAGTTTACGGTCTCTTCGGCTGCCTGCATGCACTGCACCGTTACATGTGGGGACGACACAACCTGCAGGAGGGGCTGTGGAACACTGACACTGGTACTGACAGACCTCACCCAACTGGCGAGGGAAAAGTCCCCTTCTCCTGGCGACAGGCTGAGTGTGTGGAGGGAGGAAGAGGCCCTGCAGCGCTGGACACACGTGCAGCAAGGGGCAAGGGGACACACCCAGTGACACCCAGTATTCCTCAGCTGTGGGCTCAAAGGAAGGCCTTTTCTTTGCATATTCGTTTCATCCTTTCGTATTTTGAAGGCTGTTTCAATGAGGACACTTTGTAATTTACAAAACCTTTAAAGACATGACTTTAAAGACGGCTACGAAGCAGCAATACATTTGTCACCTCAAAGTTCTGGGAAGCCAATGTCACCTCGACAATCTTTTAAAGCCCTTTATGCTGTGGCTGACATCACTAACCCCATCTACTGCACAATAGAAAAATAAGTATGCCAGGGCTAGCGCTGTGGCATGCGGGCTAACACCCTGGCTTGAAGCGCCGGCATCCCATATGGGTGCTGGTTCTAGTCCCGGCTGCTCCACTTCCAATGCAGCTCTCTGCTGTGGCCTGGGAAAGCCGTGGAGGATGGCCCAAGTCCTTGGGCCCCTGCACCCACGCGGGAGACCTGGAAGAAGCTCCTGGCTTTGGAACAGCGCAACTCCAGCCGTTGTGGCCATCTGGGAAGTGAACCAACAGATGGAAGACCTCTCTCTGTCTCTACCTCTCTATGTAACTCTTTCAAATAAATAAATATTAAAAAAAATATGCCAAACTGAGAAACTGTTGCAACCCAACATTTCAGAGCCTATTTTTTAAAAAAGATTTATTTATTTATTTGAAATGCAGAGTTACAGAGGCAGAGACAGAGAGAGCGAGAGGTCTTCCATCCACTAGTCCACTCCCCAAATGGCCATGAGAGCTGGAGCTGGGCCAGTCAGAAGCCAGAGCCTGGAGCTTCCCCCAGGTCTCCCACGTGAGTGCAAGGGCCCAAGGACTTTGGGCCATCTTCAAATGCCTTCCCAGGCCACTGCAGAGAGCTGGACTGGAAGAGGAGCAGCCAGGACACCAACCAGCATCCAAATGGGATGCTAGCACTGCAGGCGGGGCTTTACCCACCACACCACAGCCCCAACCCATTTCAGAGTTTTTATTTATTTTTTTGACAGGCAGAGTTAGAGCGAGAAACAAAGAGAAAGGTCTTCCTTTTCTATTGGTTCACCCCTCAAGTGGCTGCTATGGCCGGTGCGCTGTGCTGATCCGAAGCCAGGAGCCAGGTGCTTCTTCCTGGTCTCCCATGTGGGTGCAGGGCCCAAGCACTTGGGCCATCCTCCACTGCACTCCCTGGCCACAGCAGAGAGCTGGACTGGAAGAGGGGCAACCGGGACAGAATCTGGCACCCCTCAGAGTCTTTTTAAATCAAAGTTCATCCCTGGCCTGTAAAGTGTACTCTTTGCCACAACCAGAGTTTGGGCTCCCTGGGGCGGTGCCAGTAAAGACGTGGGTGTGGCCAGCCTAGCTGTGTTCTCCCCAGCCCCTGTGCGGAGCCCACAGCTCCCTGATGGAGCTGAGCAGCCAGTTCCTGCTTTGGGAGGGATTTTCCCAGCATGAAGCCACCGCGAGGGCTCTGCTCCCTTCACTGAAGAACAGTCAGGGGTGGGCACTGCTGCAGGCAGGGCCAGAGTCTTCCTCTTAGGACAGAGACGTCTTTCAGCCTCTGTGGGCTTCTACCACCCGGTGCACCTGCTGTCACCCTGGGCCATGAGGGGCCACACTCGCGGGCTGAGGGTGGCAACGGGCAGAATGCTGGCTCCCGAGGACCGCGCTCGGCTGCTGGCCAGCTGGCTAGGCAGCCCCCTCCATCTGAACTGCTGGTCAACAAGCATCCAAGTCTGGACTCTAAACCGCCAAAATAATTCAGACATACCACGTAAGGAAACTAAACATTTATTGAGTACATGTTTACTTAGTAATAACACAATTTCTCAAAAAAATACAAAAAAATAAAAAGGAACGGAACTCTTCCAAACACAAAGAAGCAGTTTGCATTGTTCTCGGATTAGACTTGAATCTGACAGCTCACTCTCCCCCGTGGTAACTGCTGCCACTGGAGGAGGCTGTTCACATTCTGAAACGGAACAGTGAGAAGCAGTCTAAGCGCAGGGGTGGCTACACACAGCACACTCCCTGCTTTGCCTGAGCTTGGAACGCGGCCGCTCCCAACAGCAGCCAGACTTCAGCACAGGCACAGACAACCACCTCCTTCCCAGATGTGCTGTGTGGCACGGGTCAAATGCCCAGGTGCGGCTTCCACACACATGTGACAGATGGCACATATGCTCTCTTGCACCTCTGAATGGAAGCATGTTCTACTGCAATACCACAAGCCCTGGGTTTTCTCTCACAACAACAACAAAAAGCATATTCCAGTATTTCCTGAAAAATTTTATAGCAAGGTTGAAAAGAGCCCTTGTCCACCACTGCCAGAACCGACTTGTCCAGGTGGAGTGCACACGGTGGCGTCTGTCTTCACAAGGAGCTGCTGAGAGAGCTGTGAGTGTCCACACCACAGTGTCATCTCGGCGGTTCCCGGGGGTGACTTCAAACCGCCCCGTCACAGCCCTTCTCGGCGGTACTGTTTTACTAATGACAGATACTTTCGTTTCTGTTTTTTCCATCTTTTCAAAGGCTCCCTTTTGTTTGAAAACTGAATTTACAGAAAATGCTAAGGAAGCCATCTCATTAGACACCAGGTAGGGAGGCAGTGAGGACAATCACTTTCCATTTAACAGCAAGACTGAGGCTGACTTACAGGCAATGCCAAACCGCTCAGTGTAAGGCGTTATTCTGTTCTTCTCACGGATTGCTAGAAATCGGAGTAATATCGTAATTCACTTTTTAAAATTCTTAAACTACTTTTTAGACTTCTGTCTTAACTTTACATCACTTAGCTTTTAAAATCTAATTTCATTTTCAATGAACTAAGGAACAACAAACATTTCAGAAAAGTTTAGCCAGACTTTAACAGGGAAAAAAGTTGCTTTGGTGATATGTAAAAGGATGACTGTTAGGGTATAAATCAATTAAACTACTTTTTATTAAATATCAAAATGCAATAAGGCAATTATTAAGTCAACTGAAAAAATTGCATTTAATAACTGTATAACTGGCCCGACATCTGAGATATTATACTCCTACTTTTCTTCTCTACTTAAAAGAATCAAAACATTAAAAAAAAAAAAAACTGGTCAGGGAGGGTGCTTTTCCTGCGGCGGTTAACTGCCCACATTCCGCATCAGAGCGCCTCCGTGATTCTCGGCTCCAGCTCCCGACTCCAGCTTCTTACTAATGCAGACCCTGGGAGGCAGCAGTGATGGCTCAAGTCACTGGGCTCCGGCCACCCACCTGGGAGACCCTGTTCCCGGCTGCTGGCTCTGCCTACGCCGGGCTGTTCCAGGTGTACGGGGAGCCAACCAGCAAACGGGAGCTCTCCTTCTCTTTCTGTGCCTCTCAAAACTTTTTCTTGAATCCTTAAAAAACACAGATCAAGGGACTAAGAAGATCTCAAAGAGGTTTAACCAATACTGGGGTACTAGTTAATGTGTATCTGCCATCTCCTGTTCTCTTGAATCTTCTCAAACTGCAACCGGAAGTGCCCCTAGAGGGAGTGAACAGATGTGACTTCCAGCTTAAGCTCCAGTCAAGGCTGGGCAGTGACCACCCCGCCCCAACCTGGCTTCGAATCAGTACTCCCTGGGAAAACCACAACAGAGGCTTTAGCCTTCTGCCCCAGCTAGGCGGTGCGCCATCACCCAGCACCTGGCATGGCCACAGGGCAAGGTGAAGGAGGATACCTGTGTTGCCACAAACTGGGATCCAGCACAAAGACAGAACGCCGAATCCTTAGCACTAAGTGATCGGTGAGTAAAGTGACCAGGAAACAACTCTGGTTTATAAAGATAGAAAGCTAAAGCCGGGCCTATTTCTCTCTCTCAGGGCAGCCAGCACCTCTGCCCTCCTGCAGGGCCCAGGCGAGCGGCCACTGACTCGGTCCCGGCTGCAGCTCCCAGGTGAGCAGCCCACCCGCCTCCTCCCCTGCTTCTCGGTCTCCGCCCTCGGTCCATTCTTCCTCTTCCCTCGCCTCTCACCAGACTCTCACTCAATTCCTTTCCTTTCCTTCCTCTCCCCGTTTCTCACTTCCTCTGCTTTCTTCTCTGACTACTCACGTGCATCACCCTTTTTCCTAACTTTCTCCTTCCTTACATAATACAAGCAAAATTCCCCTACCAGAGACCGTTCAGCCCCAGGACATGGGACCACCTGCACAGGGCGGGCCCGCAGGGGGATGCTGCTGCAGCCTCACCAGGGGGTATTCTGGAGCCCACAAAAGGTATGGGACGTCAGAGCCAAGCACACACTCTAACAAGGCTTCATCGCATGAAACTCCTGGTCCCATTTACCTACAAACTGCTTTGTGAGAAAAAGCCGGGCAGAACACTTTCCACCGCACCCCGAGCCTCTGCCTCTGATGACACCTGTAGGGCGTTCTGCCTGCGTAAAGGTCCAAGGCGCAGACAGTCCCAGGCACAGGGTCCAGATCTCCTTCCCACCTGGTTTTCCCTTCCTCGCACCAGGGACACAGGCTTGAGCGGGAGCAGAGAGCCAGTACCAGCATGCAATCACTCTGGAGCCAAAGGAACTCGGTGACCTTACGCATTTGCACTACTCTTTATAAAAAAAAAAAAAAATGCATTTTCTTCAAACGTGAACCAAAGTATTTTCTAAAGGTTTTCCAAGTTCTTCTGGAGTGGTCACTTGCTACAAATGAAGGCTGACCACCCAGGAGACTCCTTCAGCTTTGGTAACACTGGGCCAGACACCTGTGAGGTCAGCGTTGTTGATACACACAGACTCCAAGCACAGAGCACACAACTCACACAGACTGCATAGATAACACAGCGCTTTAGGGAAGACTACACACATTCTCCAACTTGTCCATCTATCATTTAACCTCACTGAGAACAGCATTTCCTGAGAACACTCAAGGGAAAAGTTACCTTGTCCAGAGATAAACTCCGAGAATTCATTTCAACCTTGTCACAGGAGTTCCAGGACACCCACGAGTCAGGTAAGAAGAGTCCTGGTGGATGTGTGTCACCCCAACTCCGTTCATGACGAAAGCTCAGGCAGGCTGGGGCCTAAAGAGCAGGTGGCCCACAGCACCAGCACAGTCTGCAGTCCCACCCCGAGGGATGAAGCTGAGACCACACCCTACATAACCCCATCCAGTCAGGCCCTCTGCTCACTGAGAAAGTGAACTCTTGAGGAATTTACTAAAGAAAATTGGTATCTTGCTAAAAGCCCCAAGTGTTTCCTCTAATACAGTATCTCAAAACCACATTACCAACCACCAGCCGTGCCATGAGTTGGGACACAAATTCCAACCTTCAAGCTGGCAAGGTCATCTCCAGTCGTCTCTAACTAGGGAACGTCAGGATCACCTGAGACGTCTGCTGACAAAGAACCTTCATGTGACTTAGTTTTGTACCCCAACAAACCCAAACCAAAAGACGGCAAATTTAAGACAATGGGGAAAATGTGCTTAAGGAACAGATCTCAGGTGTTGTTGTTGGCCACGATGTCGCTGCTCAGTGGGGACCAACAGAACGTCTGGGACTTTCTTTAATATGCTTCAGCAACAAAGGGGGGGTGGGGTGAAAGAAACAGGAAGGTGCTGCTAAGCTCTGAGCTGGGCTGTGGAGTACCACTGCACACGCTCCCACTTGCTCATCATTTTCAAAATCTCATCGTTAACATTTACTTGTGGATTCCACCCAGGACCCAGCACCCCAGGACCACCGCTGGGTGCTGCTCATGAACCTGAATGAACCCCCTCACCCCCACCCCAGAGGCCTCCCAGCCAGGCAGGCCGTGGTACCCCTGGGGCCCCAGGATACACCCTCCCAATCGCTCAACTCCGGGTTCTCCTGTTCTACTCAGCGAGCTCATGTCAACCTGTCTCACGGGTTCTGTTACCACAGCATTCTACAGCTCAGGCACACAAAGTCCACCTGTTCAAGGTGTCCGCCTGCCCTAGGGTGTTGGACTACGGGGGAACGACTCCCACTGTGCCCTCCTCCCTCCACCTGTCCCTCACGGGCTGTGGGACGCCACCGCTCTGCAGCCCACGTCGCCACAGAGGGCTGCGTGTGCAGGATTTCCATGCGGCACTGCCTTCACGGGCTTCCCTCTACCTGAGAGCCAGGTGGCACCTGGTGAGATGAGATGCGCGCCCTCAGAGGCGCTGGTCCCCGAGAGCGCCAAGCGATGTGGCGTTCTTACGTTCAAGGCTTTAAAACATCAGCTGGTACAAAGTCAAGGCCTGTGAGCCACCCTGCTCTTTGTACGGTCAGATGTAACAGTCTTCTTACTCCGGATCCCCTCACAACCTCCCCAGAGGAAGGCTCCATCCGCCAGCTTCTCCAGAAACACCTTGAAAAGCCATTTTGAGGTAGAAGCAAAGTGTAACTAGACCGCTCCTTCCTACTTCACGGTCTCTCAAATTTCTCCTCACAGGAAGTGCGCGGCTTACGCATTTTGGTCCGCTGAAGTTTCCACCATCTTAATATCCTACTAAGGTTTTCTCTTTACTGTCAGCATAATATATTTTGCTTCCAGAATGCCCAGTAAAGCTGAAAGTTTTCATTCAAAGTGACTAAAAAAAAAAATACTTCCCTAATATCTACTTAACAATCTTCGATCTGAGTTTTGGCAAGACAGTTGAACAGGGACAGGACGCAAACACCCCACTTCTCTCTCTCTCTCTCTGTCACACACACACACACACACACACAACCCCAAAGTGCTCACGGTTCCTCCCTTCGGATACAGCTCGGGGTTTAACGTGCAGGTACGGAGACTGAACAAACACGATTGTCACCACATCTGAGGGCAGAGATGAAATGCGTAAAGGCACACGGAGATTGTCGACGGGGGACGCCGTTCACATCACATTTCTCGAGGAGAGCAGGGCCTTCCTGCTCCTGTAAACAGGCCCCGTGGGGGACGGCTGCGGGAGCCCGGGAGGCCGGCCGTGGTGTGCAGCTGCGGGAGCCCGGGAGGCCGGCCGTGGTGTGCAGCTGCGGGAGCCCGGGAGGCCGGCCGTGGTGTGCAGCTGCGGGAGCCCGGGAGGCCGGCCGTGGTGCGCGGCTGCGGGAGCCCGGGAGGGCGGCCGTGGTGCGCGGCTGCGGGAGCCCGGGAGGCCGGCCGTGGTGCGCGGCTGCGGGAGCCCGGGAGGCCGGCCGTGGTGCGCGGCTGCGGGAGCCCGGGAGGCCGGCCGTGGTGCGCGGCTGCGGGAGCCCGGGAGGGCGGCCGTGGTGCGCGGCTGCAGGAGCCCGCGGAGGGCGGCCGGCAGTGGTGCGCAGGCTCCCAGGGCAGGAGCGCCTCCTCAGCGCCGAGACGACGGACGGACGGACAGACGGACAGACGGACGGACGGAGGACGGCGGTGACCTCACAGCGAGCCCGAGGGCGCGGCTCAGCCCGTTTCACAGTTGCGGGAGTGGGCGCGGGCTCCGGCCCAGGCACGTGGCGCACGGCGGCCGAGTCACGTGGCTCGCGGCGCCCTGGCCACGCGCTCGCGGACGCTGCGGGCCAGCTGCTTGATGAAGAGGCCGTAGCTGCGGCCGCAGTAGGTGTGCGCCGTCCCGCGCAGCGCCAGCTCCAGCGGCGGCAGCAGCGCGCGCACGCTGTCGTCCTCGAAGGAGCACTGCGGAGAGAAGCAGAGGCTGAGGGGGTGTCGCGAGTGACCCCTCGGCCCCGCAGGCCAAGGGACCCGGACACGCGGCTGCGCTCCGGGCAGGGGCTCCGCCTCGCGTGGCGGGAACGCGACCCGGCCACCCCGGCACAGAGGCCACTCTGCCCCGCGCTGCGGGCCACCGGCTCCAGAGTGCATTTCGGGTCCGCGTCCTTTATCCACGCTAACACGCGAACACCCTGAGGAAGAGCGGCCCCCCACGCGGAGTGACAGCTCAGGCTCCCACGCTGACTTCCCGAGCAGAGCTCGCCCCGTGCGCCCGGCCCGCCCCAGACCTCGCTGCGCCCCTGGCCGCCCCCTCCTCCCGAGCACCCAGCCCCGCAGGGCCGCGCGGAGCTTCGGGCTGCCAGGCGAGGGCAGGGAGCAGAGCGGAGGCTCTCCGGGCCGCAGGCACGCGGCGTGGGGCACCTCCCAAGCACAGAACCTGGGAGAGGGGCAGTGCGCCCCAGCACACCCTGGGTTCTGGCCGCATCCGCCGGGGCCTGCCCGCAGAGCCAGGGGTGGGTCCACCCGGGCTAGCAGGGACACCAAGCGGCACGGGGACTCGGACGCACAGCAAGCACTGCACAGACCCCAGAACGTTCTCCCCTGTGAGCCCGCAGTGTTCACACTTAGCATTTCTGTTCACGCAAAAGCTAACGTTTAACAAACGCGTGGCCTGTAACGGCCGAAGATCCGGCCCACGCAGCCGGGTCCAGATCCCGCCCGGCCCTGACCCTGACCCTGACCCGTCACAATGTCCGCCGAGGTCTCGGCTCCGTGAGAGCCGCTCGCTGCAGCTCGCACAGGCAACCCCCGGCGGGATGCGCTTCTTGAAAACACTGCGCTTCTCACTGAATTATAGATAAGGAAAGAGAGAAACACAACGCAAGAGCACCATAAGAGACTGATTAACTTCATTACGTTGAAAAATGGGCAGAAAGAAGCTGTAGTTAACACAGGCCCAAAACAATCATTAATTCAGTATTTGAAGTCATTTTAAAAATAACATTTCAAAAAGAAATCAAAGGTAATCAACTTAAAACTATTACCTGAGTTTTTAAAGGTATATTTTTATAAACCAAAGAAAAGATCATATAAAATTAGCGAGGCTTAATTCTCTAATATATTTTTTAGATGTTCAAGGGAAACAAAGGAATTACATTTTTATAGGAATGCATTTCTTTCCTATCCTGCAAAATCCTGGGACCCCAAAAGCACTTTTCTTCATTTTTATCACCTTCTGACAACACACAGTAAAGCATTAATAAAATACGGTATTAATTTCTGAAGGCATACAAGGCCTGCTACATTAAAACCAACATCAACACTAAATTTTGTAATTCTTCAGTGAGTACAGTCATATCATGATAAACTGATTATTTAGGAACCGTATCTGTCAAGTTTATTGGATGAGAAACTTAGCAAGTAGTACACAGAAACAGAAGCCCACATGTGGCTGTCAACACCTCGCCTAAGCCAGGACAACGGGCACCTGCCACAGGATCCCCTTGCCACAGGGCGGCCGCGTACCCACCACATTCCCGCTGCTGCCAGCCTTCTGCCATCCCTCCTGCAGACCGTCTTGCACCACGCCAGCCCCTCCACGACCCCGCCTGGGCCTCTTCCTCAGTGGCCCCAGCTGGGACTGCCCGCCCCCAGCCCCCTGTGGATTTCGGCTCTTCCGGGAGGTCCACCCCAGCCCTGCAAAGCAAGGCTGCAGCACCGTCTCAGCTCTCACCTGTGCCTCAGTGGTCACAGCTCAGTGCCTTTATTCTCACTGGGGTCAACCTGGCAGAGACCAGAGGTCTCAGGAACCAGCACCAGCAAATGAGAAGCTGGCAAACGGGGCTCATGACCACAGGAGAGCGCTGAGCCCTCTGCCTTCTCCCCAGGGAGAAGGCTGCAGCTCATTAAGTCCCAGCAGGAATCCCAACCTCCTCTGGATCTGTTCCAGCCCTGGTCCCTGACAGTCCACCGTAATTACCGGAAAAGGGACTCAGAACGAGACAGCAGACATCTGGGCAAGGAGCAAACTCATTTTCTCCCAAGCTCATAAAAAAGCAAACGCTTGATAAAGAAAACCCCACTTACAAAAGCAGTAAGAAAATAAAACGTGGAGGCATACACGTTCAGGCCCGCTGGGAAACTACGTAGGGAGGGAACCGTAAAGCATTCCTGGAAGACAAGCGGGAAGACAGCCCCTGTGCTCGGGCAGGGGCCTCAGCTACCATGAAACACCCTAATTCATGAAGGCCAGAGGTTTGCCGAGCTCACAGCTCTGGAAGGCCAAGGGCCTGGCACCCCACCCATAGCTCCTGGAGGGAAGTAGAAAGAACGAGCAGCCATGTGCTCAGGACAGGCACCAGGCCTGCTCAGTGACAGCCACCCTGGAATAAGGGAGCCACTCTCCCGGAAACCACGTTAATCCCTCCTTTGGGGGCTGCTTACAAGTCCCACACGACCTAAGACTACCACATCAGCCAAGAAATCTCAACTTGAGTTTTGGTGGAGACAAACCATGTCTGAGCTCTCACCACCAAAAAAAAAGCCAGCAGTCACTGGGTCACCCCACTCCCTGACAGACTCAAGCAAGACACTCCTGGGGACACAAAGGCCCAGTGGCCAGGCAGTAGGAACCGCATGCACGGTGCACAGATAGACAGGAATGTCCAGAGATGCCAAGTGGACTCCCAGAGCACGGCCAAGTCAGAGCTCAGGCCTTTCAGTTCAAGGCTGATTCTGAAACGAACAGTGTGGAGACAAGAGGCCAACCATCTGGAGGAGAGCAAATGACACCACGCCTCCTTCAACACAGGAGACTGCAAATTCCCAAGGAACTGACACGGATCTGGTTTTAGAAAGTGAAAGGGGTATGGCTAAATCCCCTTGTAACTGGTTCTACAGCCTGAGCACAGAAGGACTCCCAACTGCGACTTTAAAATAAAGGCTGCTAACTTTAAACATAAAAAAGTTTCAACAAAATCTGCGCAGTATAAAATGCCACAAAGTTAAATTGGGAGAAAAAATTACAATATGTATCACAGATAAAAAATGAAAACATCCTCAATATATAAAGAACTTTTAATAGATAAAGGGGGGTGGGCAGAAGACCCTCCAGTATCTGCTATACAGTACCATAAACATCTAAAGCCAGACAGTGATGTACCCGAAACAGGCACACTCCATGGTACGTAAATTACGTCTCAACAGAATTTTTGTAGGACCTAACGAACAGATGACAGACTTAAAAGAAAATTCAAGGGTTGGCACTGTGGTGCAGCAGGTTAATACCGCTGCCTGCGGCACCTGAATCCCACATGGATGCCAGTTCAAGTCCCCACTGCTCCACTTCCAATACAGCTCCCTAATAATGTACCTGGAAAGGCCACAGAAAATGGTCCAAGTTCTTGGGCCTTGCATTCACATGGGAGATGTGGATGAAGCTCCTGGCTTTGGCCTGGCCAAGCCCTGGCCACTGTGGCCATATGGGGAGTAAACCAGCAAATCGAAGATATCTCTCTCTCTCCCCCTTACAAGTAAATAAATAGATATTTTAAAAAAAAAAATGAAGAAGAAGAAGAAGAAGAAAACTGCAACACACAGCCATACACTGCGGCTGGTCTTCCAGACAGACAGCAAGCACAGAACAGAGAATGAGACAGTTGGCACCATGGTGGGCAGGAGGCAAGGGACAGGAAGGGGCCACAGATTCTGGGTAACCTTTATCTGGTTTGGACTTCTCCATGGTTATTAATACTGCACCAAAAATAATTATATCAACAAGGATGATGGAAAAAAAAAACTAAAAAGAAAGAAAACTGAAGCAAATGGACCTGACTGTATGTCAACTGAATAAAATAGCCACCCACAAGGGGTGGGGGAATGGAGCCATGGAACTACTGAACAAAGCACTGGGTGGTCCCTAACCTGGGGGCACGGGGCAGGAGCGGGACTAGGAAGAAGGCCTGAACGCCTCTGAGCCGGGTGTTCTGGGGAGGACGGGAGTGAAGCTGGTGGTGTAAAGCTGGTGGTGTGAACACGGCGTTTCTGGAATTATTTTAAATGCACTGCAGGACAAAGCCGCTGAGGCAATAAACGTTTTTGTTGGGATTCAGGGTGTTGAACTGCAGAAGAAAGGTAAAATACTGCAGAGAAAGAGGCAAGGCAGAGCTCAGAGGGTGAGCCCGTGAGTGTGTGCGTACGTGCACGTGTGTGTGTTCCAGTTCCCAAGCTTTGCTGCCAACAGGGTTAGAAGCAAATCACTCTGTAAAGTACCTGCCCACGCCTGACATCCAGAGTCCACTGAGGGAACAAGGACCCAAGACTGATGGCTAGTCTCCGAGCAAGGGCAAGGACAGTGTAAGACAAACAGAATACTCTGTTGGGACAAAAAGGGGTACTAAAAAAAAAAAAAAAGGAAAGAGGGGGACCTGGCCAGAGGGGCTCCCAGAGGTCCTATCTGGAGCAAGCTCCCCATGAGTGCAAGTAGGAGGGGATATGCACTGGAAATCACTGGGGGAATGAGCACCAGAGAGCTCCCCCGATCATATCCTCAACACACAGGCGAAAACTGAAGGCTGCTCCTTAGAGAACTGTGGGGAACAATCCGGACTAGACTGAGTTACTGGAATTAAGACTTATTCTATGCATCTGCTCTCCCACAATATGGCGTTGGGAGAGAAGTAAACAGCTTCCGCACAGCTGCCTCCAGTTCAACTGATAAACTGTAGGACTTGCTCCTGATTGGAGGAGAGCAGCGTACTCGGCGTGTGGGCAGCCGAGTTAGGATTGGCGGAGGAGGACTATAAAGGAGGAGAGAGACGGCATGCACCAGGAACATCTATGGGGAACATCTAAGGGAACCCGTGCAGCCCCCGAGAAAGCCGGCCGGCGGTGTGCCGCTCCCCTGCGGAAGTGGGGAATGCGGCCAGGGGGAACTGCCCTTCCACGGAGGTGGAAGGGATAGTAGCCAACCCGGGAAGAACCAGCAGCAAACCCGGGGAGGGCCGAGCAGACGAAAGAACAGCGCAGGGTCCTGTGTTGCTCCTCCACGAAGAGGGGGAGCGACATAATGGTGCCGTGACTCGGATAGGAAACCTAGGGCGGATAGGAAACCTGACTCGGATAGGAAACCTAGCTCGGATAGGAAACCTAGGACGGATAGGAAACTTAGGAGGGAAGAAACGGGAAGAACTAGGGAAAATATCGGAGAGATAGACTCGAAACAGCCTAGGGAAAAACCGGACGAAAAGGAGCCGGAAGAAGCTATTGAAAGCCTAGGCATAGACTCGGATACGGACTACGGGGGGAAGCTGGGAGAAATCTCTAAGGTCGAAAGCGAAAGTGAAAGCTAGAACAAACAGACTCGGACGCGGACTGTGGGGAGAGGCCAGGAGAAATGAGGGAGGAGTATTGTTGGAGGAAAGCTTGGGGAAACATACCGGGTAGAGAAAAATGTTAGGGAAATTGAAGCCGCGGGGGGCAGGCCGAGGCGGAGACGAAAGCCACTTTGGGGTTCTCAAGTTAGCCCGGGAATAGGGGGCGAAAAGTTGAAACCAGAAGCTGAGACGTAAGCCAGATTGGGATCCGTCTGATTAGCCCGGGGAGCAAAGGACGGGAAGCCAAATCGTGGGGCGGAGACGTACGCTGGGTTGAATTCGCCAGGCTAGCCCGGGGAACTTGGATTGAATGCTAGTGGTGGAGACGCAAGCTACGCTGTGTTACTCGCGGAAGCCGCCGCGTGCAGAGAGAGCACGGGGCGTGAATAGATAGGGAACGCTGGCGTAGGCCGTGGTTCAGACGCGAAAGGGTTAAGCGTGGAGACCGCGGAGCGCGCGAAGCCGAGCCGCGCAAAGCCAGGAAGCTGCGCAGATGAGAGAGGCGCGCGGGCTGGAGCGGCGCAGAGCCGGGAACCCGCCGGCGGGGCGAGGTGCCGGGAAGCCGCGGGGATAAGAGAAATAGAAATTTAGAAGCAAAGTGAGAGAAATAGGAATACTGGAAGATAGAAGTAAAATGGGAGAAATAGGAATGCCCGGAGATAGAGAAATAGAGAAATAAAAAGGCCTCCCTACAACACTGCAATGTGAGAGCTTGGATTCGGTCTGCCTAATCAAGTGAGGCGATGAGCACCTGCGGGCAGCTAGCAGCTTATGCGCCGCAGGTCACCGAAGACAGGCACGAATTAACATCAGTAAAGCTTCCCCACAATGCAACAATTAGGAGGCTTGGATTCGGTCTGCCTGATTTAAGGCGGTAAGCGCCAGAAGCAGCTCGACCAGAGTATGAGCTGCAGGTCACCGAAGATAGGCACAAACCAACACTAATAAGTCTCCCCCACAATACGGCAATGAGAAGGCTTGGATTCGGTTTGCCTGATAGAGCTTGTAAGCCCCTGCAGGCTCGACCAGAGCATGCGCTGCAGGGCACCGAATACAGGCACGCATCAGCGCCTAAAAACCTCCTCACAACATGGCGAAGAGAGGACCCGGATTCGGTTTGCCTGATTGATAGGACTTGTAAGAGCCTGTGGCAACTCTAGCAAGTAGAGCAGAGTGTGTGCCGCAGGACACCGAAGACAGGCGCGTATCAACGCCAAAAATAAAAAGAAAGGGGGATCTGTGGGGAACAATCCGGACTAGACTGAGTTACTGGAATTAAGACTTATTCTATGCATCTGCTCTCCCACAATATGGCGTTGGGAGAGAAGTAAACAGCTTCCGCACAGCTGCCTCCAGTTCAACTGATAAACTGTAGGACTTGCTCCTGATTGGAGGAGAGCAGCGTACTCGGCGTGTGGGCAGCCGAGTTAGGATTGGCGGAGGAGGACTATAAAGGAGGAGAGAGACGGCATGCACCAGGAACATCTATGGGGAACATCTAAGGGAACCCGTGCAGCCCCCGAGAAAGCCGGCCGGCGGTGTGCCGCTCCCCTGCGGAAGTGGGGAATGCGGCCAGGGGGAACTGCCCTTCCACGGAGGTGGAAGGGATAGTAGCCAACCCGGGAAGAACCAGCAGCAAACCCGGGGAGGGCCGAGCAGACGAAAGAACAGCGCAGGGTCCTGTGTTGCTCCTCCACGAAGAGGGGGAGCGACAGAGAACGAGGGCCGTGTCCTCTGTGGTCCGGCAACCATCAGTGTGTGATGACCACGGTGGAGACTGGTTTGGGCAAGAATCAAACAAGGGTGCCAAATACTGCCAGGCAATTCTGACGAGAAACGAGTAATCGCATGACTCTGAAGACTGTACCCACAGAAGGTTACAAGAGGAAAAATGAACACCACTTTGGTCAAAGTAAGAGGCAGAGGCAAAGGTGACCAAGATGCCCATAGGGCATCACGTGACGTATGACAGGGTGGGGGTAGGGGTGCACCCCGGTGTGACCCCAAGGAGACACCAGCCACGCCAAAACCAACCGCAGTCTGGTCCAGGAAGGCACAGGGTCTCTGTTCTCCAAAACCAAGAAAAAGACAGAGACAGATCAGGTCCAAAAGAGAAGAAGCACACGGACGACAGCCGAGTGCCACGGGATTCTGCTGTGCATCCATGCTGCGGATTAACCAGAGAACGTCCGCTCTGGGTAAGACGTAGGGCAGTTCAGAGCTTGAGGGACGCGGCTCACGGGCAAAGGGCCTGCAAAACCGGCGACAGAGTGACCAGCACAACGCTCGTGGGGCACACGCCTGAGGAAGGGGCCCAGGGGCCCAGCGACACACCGCGCACTGCTCTCACAACCCCACCGTGCTTGCGAGGAACCAGCCCCGCTTACGTTTCTCAGGGCTTCGTACACCGCTCTGAACGCCGGCTGCTTGTCGTCATGGTAAACGCCCCTGTTCCCGTGAAGCACGGAGATGCCTTCCTCCTCAGCCTCCCGGCAGTTGCTTCCATAGATGCAGTGATCTGGGCGGTAATTCCACTGGCACGGGAAAACAAAGAGGCTTTCTACAAAAGACAAGACCAGACAGTGACGCAAAGGCCCCAGATTCCAGAGAATTAACACCCTGCACCGTTCTTACTCTAAAAATACAGCTCTTGCCCCAGCCGCTGAGGCCGTCGGGAGACTGAATCAGCAGGTAAAAAGTCTCTCTCACGCTCTATGAAACTGCCTTTCAAATAAGTAAAATCCATCTGTGGAGCAGTGGTTAAGCCACAGCTGTGGCACCAGCACCCATATCAGAGTGCCTATTCAAATCCTGGCTGCAACTCATGCAATCCAGAGTACCACTAGGATAGGGAGCAGAGAGACCCAACTGCTCGGGTGCCTGCCATTCACGTGGCATATCCAGATGGAGTTTCCGGCTCCTGGTTTCCACTGTACCAGCCCTGCCTGCTGTAGCCATTTGGAGAGTGAACTAGTGGATGAGAGTCTCTGTCTTTTCCCCTCTCTCTCTCTCTTTGACCCTGCCTTTCAAATACATAGACAAATCTTATTTATTTATTTTATTTATTTATTTCAAAGTCAGAGTTACACAGAGAGGAGAGACAGAGAGAAAGAGAGAGGGGTCTTCCATCTGATGGTTCTCTCCCTAGTTGGCCGCAATGGCTGGAGCTGTGCCGATCTGAAGCCAGCGGCCAGGAGCTTCTTCTGCGTCTCCCACACGAGTGCAGGGGCCCAAGGACTTGGGGCATCTTCTACTGCTTTCCCGGGCCATAGCAGAGAGCTGCATAGGAAGTGGAGCAGCTGGGACTCAAACTGGTACCCATATGGGATGCCAGCACTTCAGGCCAGGGCGTTAACCTGCTATGCCACAGTGCCGGCTCCTATTTATTTATTTATTTGAAAGGCAGAGTTACAGTGAGGGAGAAGCTAGGATAGGGACCGGAGAGACTATCTTCTATCCAAACGGTTGCTGCAAAGGAGCCAGGTGTTTCTTCCAGGTGGGTAAAGGGGCCCAAGCACTTGGGTCATCTTCCACTGCTTTCCCAAGTGCATTAGCATGGAGCTGGATAAGAAGTGGAGCAGCCAGGCCTCCAACTGGCACTCATATGGGATGCTGGCACTGCAGGTAGAGGTTTTACCTGCTACGCCACAGCACCGGCCCCAATAAAAAAATCTTTAATAAAATAAAGGTCTTCCAGGAGAAGACCTAAATTGGTGAACAGTATGTTTGATATTTGATTCTTTTAACTAAACTAGTATTTCAGAAAAGTTTTATCCTGCCTTAAACTTAAATACTGCCAACTATTAATACTCACATTAGCCAAAATCAAATAAACTAATTTCTCCCTTTTTTAAAGTAATTTTTGTGATTTTTTTTAACAAATACAAAAAATAAAAATGCAAATGCTTACCTGGATTATGAAAAAACATGATATTCAACAGGTCCTGATCGCCCCATGTGATGTTCAGTTTGTATTTTTTAAGCAATGGCACAAGGATATCTCCCCATCGAAGTCGTGCAGTTGTCATATCATTCTGCCGATAAAAACACCAAAAAGATTCTCGAGCTTTCAGGTTGAAGACGCTTGCAGGACCACCCTTGCCCGTCCTTCCCTGAGCAGCCACTACAAAGCCCACAGAGAAATGCAGACTCCCTCTGTAACAGGGCTCGAGCCGGTGCCCATACGGGATGCTGACACTGCCGGCCAGGGCTTTAACCCACTGTACCGCAGTGCTGGCCCCTACTCTAATTTTTACACCTGCTATTTCTTTCACTTGTCTAACACGGGGGCTTGTTATTCCTCCATGCTGAAAGCTACTAACACAATATCATTCAGCAGTTATGGCAACAGTTACCTCCGTCCTGATTTTAAATGAAAAGCTTCCACTGTTCTCCCTCATTAAACACAGAACTGCTGTCTGAACTGAGACAAATGCACTAAATTATCAGCCATCAATTTATATTTTGTCTTTTCCACAATCAGAAACACCGAACCTCAGCCAGTGCCTTTTGGCCTGGAGGTGGTCACACAGGCTGAGCGTCTCCTTCCCCAAAGGTCTGGGACCAGACACATTGCAAGTAAGGGTTTCCTCGATTTGGGGGTCTTTGCATGGATCACCCAACTGAGCGTCCCTAATTCAGAATCCAGAATTCAATCTGAAACTCTGAGTGCCATTCAAAACTGGATTTAAAAGCCAGCTCATCCTGCAGCTCGCTGTTTAAAAACACAAAGCCGAAAGCCCTGGAAGCAAGCAATAGGGCTGAGAGGGGCTTCGCGGCACTGGAGCTGGGTGGGACCCGAGTCTCCTGCAGCACCCAGAGCACTGCACGTGCTCCCCGGGGAGTGGCTCCGGGCGCTTCAGCGGGTCAATTTCACGTGTCCGCACTGGGACAGAGGGCGGAAGTTAAGAGACTGGGACACTTCTACAGCTGTTCACAAATCACTTTATGCCTGGTCGTCTATTCATATTCTACTTTACGCAAGCATGGGCTCAGGACATACAGGAAATTTAAAGACACTCACTGTTCCTCATACAGTTGGACAAGCATTCTTGTAAGCTCTCCTGCAGTGTTTATAATGAGCACAACAAGGGACAAGTCAAGTGTCCCATGAGTGGGTACAAAATTCACAGTGTTCCTTGACACCAGAAGCCGGGGACCCAGCAGCTCCCACGGGTGAGTTACCCACTCTAAAGCCCTACCCTTCCAGTACCACATTCATGGCTTTCTCCCTCATCTCACAAAGGTCCTTCTCACCCACATCTTCCCTCATCCAAGGGATCGCTCTGAAGTGCTTCCAACAGTTCACTTGTGGCCCAGCTCCTAAAGCGCTCACGAGACTGTCCTTGGCTGCCCATTATCTGCTGAAGGGCTACTTCATGGCAGACATCGTGAGCATGCTCTCAGCACAGTACTGCACAGAATACACACGTGCCCTCCGCAGACAGGCGCGGGAACAGGCAGAAACACTGACACAGTGACAGCCTGCAGGACATGAGACGGGCAGAGGAACAGGCAGAAACGCTGACACAGTGACAGCGGCAGGACATGAGACAGGCGCAGGAACAGGCAGAAACGCTGACACAGTGACAGCCTGCAGGACATGAGACGGGCAGAGGAACAGGCAGAAATGCTGACACAGTGACAGCCTGCAGGACACGAGACGGGCAGAGGAACAGGCAGAAACGCTGACACAGTGACAGCGGCAGGACACGAGATGGGCAGAGAAACAGGCAGAAACACTAACATAGTGACAGTGGCAGGACACGAGACGGGCAGAGGAACAGGCAGAAACACTAACATAGTGACAGCCTGCAGGACATGAGACGGGCAGAGGAACAGGCAGAAATGCTGACACAGTGACAGCCTGCAGGACACGAGATGGGCGCAGGAACAGGCAGAAACGCTGACACAGTGACAGTGGCAGGACACGAGACGGGCAGAGGAACAGGCAGAAACGCTGACACAGTGACAGCGGCAGGACACGAGACGGGCAGAGGAACAGGCAGAAACGCTGACACAGTGACAGCCTGCAGGATATGAGATGGGCAGAACAACAGGCAGAAACGCTGACACAGTGACAGCCTGCAGGACATGAGACGGGCAGAGGAACAGGCAGAAACGCTGACACAGTGACAGCCTGCAGGACATGAGACGGGCAGAGGAACAGGCAGAAACGCTGACACAGTGACAGCCTGCAGGATATGAGATGGGCAGAACAACAGGCAGAAATGCTGACACAGTGACAGCCTGCAGGACATGAGACGGGTACAAAACAGGTAGAACGCTTACACATTGACAGCCGGCAGGACACAAGACAAGCACAGGAAGCCATCATAGACACCCACACAGTGACAGTCACAAACATTCACAAAGTGACAGCCGGCAGCACATGAGATGGGAACAGGAAATCAGCACAAATGCTCACACAGCGACAGTCGCAGCACAGGCGACGGGCACAAATGCTCGCACAGTGACAGCAGGGCACGAGATGGGCACAGAAAACCTACAAGGAAGAATTTCCATGACTGCCTAATACACATTCTTTGAAAAAGATTAAGAAATACTTTAGTGATTTTTAAATTTTTATGTATTTGAAAGGCAGTGAGACAGGTGACCACAATAAACATAGAAAAATCTTCCATCTGCAAGTTCATATCCCAAAGCCAAGAGCTAGGAACTCAATCTGGGTCTCCCACGTGGGTGGCAGAAACCCTGACACTTGAGCCACTACCTCTCGTTTCCCAGGTGTGCAGTAGCTGGAAGCCAGACCAGAAGCAGAGCCAGGAGCAAGAGCCGGAGCCCAAGCACTCCACTAGGGGGTGCAGGTGTCCCAACAGGCATCTTAACCACCAAATGTCAACCCTATGTTAACCTGTTAATAAATGTAACCACAGTACAGCAGGTTGGAACTGAACAGCCATGAACAGTGCGAAACAAGCAGCACACACAGTAAAGCAAATTCAGAACACGGTGGCCTTTCTCCTACATGGGAAATCTTGGGGGCTTCTCTGGTGGTAAAAACCAGTGGGCAAAAAAGAACCACCGGGCAGCAAAGAGGGATCCACTGGAAGCAGCTGGGAGAGTGATTACAAGTAACTCGGCTTCACAGCTAAAGATCTAAAGTTCTGATCTTCCCCCAGAAGCTGCTGAATTGGCAGAAAAACCAAGGCAATGACTGCTATGGATACGGACAGGAAAACAGTCAAAACAAAGATTCACGAGAAAATAAACTAAAAACCAGGATGTGTTTCAACATCATCCCAGCAATCGTTAACGATGGTATCTGAGAATGGGGAGAACAGGACGCTGCTGGTCCCCGGGGACCAGAACAGGGCTGGGGGTGCGGAGCCAGCGTGCGGCCAGCCCGCGCAGCACTCTTTCCCTCGAGTCATGCATGCATGCCAAGGAAGGTGGCTGGAAAATTCAGACTTGCCAACTGGCTTAGGACACGCCACAGACAGAACAGGGGAGGGGAGGGATGCCTGAAATATCCAAGAGCGGTATTACTTGAGCAGGACGGAAGTAAAAAAGGAATAATGGATTTGAACTACATGACTACACTGTAAATTTCAAAAAACAGAAAACACCAAAGGGTGTTGTACCGAATGACGCCTACAGTTCTGTGCAGCACGAAACAGCTGATTCTCAGATGATAATCCTACAGCACCACCTCCTGGTGTAAGATCACTGTGCAGAGTTCAACGGCCAGAAGTAATCATCAAATGTTGATCAGCCAGTAAAACTCAAGGCCTCACAAACTCAAAATACAGGCCCAGCAATGTAGCGTGATGGGTAAAGCCGCTGCCTGCAACACTGGCATCCCACGTGGGCGCCACTTCGTGTCCCGGCTGCTCCACTTCCAATCCAGCTCTCTGCTAGCAGCCTTGGAAAAGGAGTGGAAGACGGCTGGTGTGCCTGTGGCCCTGACACCCACAGGGAAGACCCAGATGCAGCTCCCGGCTCCTGGCTTCACCCTGGCTCAGTCCTGGCTGCTGGGGCTGCTTGGGGAGCGAACCAGCAGTTGGAAGATCTCTCTCTCTCTGTGTGTCTCTTCCTCTAACACTGCCTTTCAAATAAATGAATGAATCCTTAAAAAAAATATTCAAAATAGAATACTAGAGCCACCATGGTACCACAGCAGGTCAGGCAGTTGCTTATGATGCTGGCATTCCTTATCAGGCACCAGTTCAAGTCCTGGCTGCTCTGCTTCCTATGCGGCCCCAAAAGGCAGCAGAAGATGGCCCAAGTGCCTGGCCCCTGCCAACCACTTGGGAGTTACGGCTCCTGGCATCAGCCTGGCCAAGCCCAAGTCGTTGCAGCCACTTAGGGAGTGAACCAGTGGACAGAAGATCTCTTTCTCTCTCTGCCTTCCAAATAAATAAAATAAAAACCAATATTATTGAATATTACTGAAGAATAAAATAAAATACCAAAGTGGGTCAGTGTTAAGAGATTCTCTGTTAAGCAAGAGCAGAGACACAGCACAGTCTCACTCATGCATCCAATTGTGGAGACAACACTGACATGCTATCACGATTCTGGAAGGGTTCAGCGAACATCAGGCACACATCACAAGTTTACCAGGGGGTACCAACAGTCAGACCCACACAGGTGAAACGCTGGCATGCCATGGCAACAGCCGCAGCAGGAGGCTGCCCGTTCCCAAGGAAGAGGACACAGCTCCAGGTGACCACAGTTAACCCGTGCACGTGGAAGCAGATCAGTAACGAGACACTGTCCACCAGAAGCCCAAAGGAAAACACGTGACAAACACAGACACACACACACACACACACACACACACACTCAGGTCATACAGACCCAACAGCCCCTCACACATACACATGTCCTAACCAGTCAGAGATGAGAACGGACAGTCCACACCCCTGGGGGCAAAGCCCCCGTGCCCACTGCTCAGCCACTGTGTTCTCCTCATTCAGCTGCTTCTGCGTGCCAGCACCTGGGCTAAGCAGCTTACCTTTTTTTCTAAGATTTACTTTATTTTATTTATTTGGAAGGTAAAATCGCTCAGAGACAGAGAGAGATCTCCCATCTATGGGGTCATTCCCCAAATGCCAGGAACAGCAGGGGCTGGGACAACACAGAGCCAGGAGCCAGCGACTCCATCCTGGTCTCCCCTGTCCCAGGCACTTGAGCCCTCCCCTGCCGCTTCCCAGGTACACATCAGCAGGAAGCTGCGTGTGAAACACAGGAGCAGGGGCTCACCCCAGGCACCCTGTACCCCAGCACCTGCTCCCACGCTAAACTCTTTAAAAGGATTTCTTTGAAAACAACCGAGCTAAGTCTGCTGACCGTTGCTGTATTTCAGGGGAACAACCTGGTACCAGCAAACCAACTTGCAGTAGCCAAGTGGCATGCAGGTGGCAAAGCTGCACAATTTAGCAAGTGACCACAGGATTCAGACTGCACCATCGGAGGACCTCAACAGTCCTGACTCTTCCACTGACCCCAGAGTGCCAGGTGAGAAACACGCAGGGATCCGGGCTCTACGCCAACTTCCAACAGCGCCAGGACTGCCAGCATTTAGCACGTGTGAGCAGCTGCTCCCAATCACGGAACCCTGACACCCTGCCGTCATCCCTGCCACTCCACAGTGAAGACCGAAGCCCAGAGACGTCTCAGCAGTGGTCCCTGAGCAGGCGCGGTGTGGGGTCCCCCCAGCCCAACAGGCTGCAGAGCCTGCCATGGGCCCCGGGACTGTGTGGCCCTGGGCTGGACCGCACCACTCTGCTGCCACAGATTCCAGGTCAGCACCCGGGGGGACCGGCCCCATTCACAGCCAGGGGGACTGGTACTCCACCCACTCGGTGCCGCCCGGCCTGACCCAGTGGGATGCTCCTCAACCGGAACACTGGACTCCACTTCCCCACGGGCTTCTAGACAAAAAGAACTCCGAGAGCTCAGTACAGTTTTCAAATAAAAGAAAACTGAACTGGAAAACAAACCACTTAGAGGGGCAGGAAAAATGGCCAACACACACCTGCATCAGTCCCCACATCCGACACACACCTGCTCACCTCCCACACTCACCTGCGTCACTGCTCACCTCCCACACACACCTGGGTCAGTGCTCACCTCCCACACACACCTGTGTCAGTGCTCACCTCCCACACACACCTGTGTCAGCACCCACCTCCCTCACACACCTGTGTCAGTGCCACCTCCCACACACCTGTGTCAGCACCCACCTCCCTCACACACCTGTGTCAGTGCCACCTCCCACACACACCTGTGTCAGTGCTCACCTCCCACACACACCTGTGTCAGCACCCACTGTCGCTCCCCCTCTTCGCGGAGGAACGACACTAAACCCTGCCTAGGCTTCCCATCCGAGTCACGGCACCATTATGTCGCTCCCCCTCTTCATGGAGGAACGACACAGGACCCTGCGCTGTTCTTTTGCCTGCTCGGCCCTCCCCGGGTTTGCTGCTGGTTCTTCCCGGGTTGGCTACCATCCCTTCCACCTCCGTGGAAGGGCGGTTCCCCCTGCCACTTTCCCCACTTCCGCGGGGGAGTGGCACACCGCCGGCCGGCTCTCTCGGGGGCTGCTCAGGTGTTCCTTCAGATAGATGTTCCTGGTGCATGTTGTCTCTCTCCTCCTTTATAGTCCTCTTCCACCAATCCCAACTCTGCTACCCACACGCCGAGTACGCTGCTCTCCTCCAATCAGGAGCAGGTCCTGCTGTTTATTGGTTGAACTGGAGGCAGCTGTGTAGAAGCTGTTTCCTCCTCTCCCAGTGCCATATTGTGGGAGAGCAGATGCATAGAATAAGTCTTAATTCCAGTAACAGTCTAGTCTGAGTTGCTCCCCACAACCCACCTCCCTCAAACACCTGTGTCAGTGCTCACCTCCCACAACCCTGTGTCAGTGCCACCTCCCACAACCCTGTGTCAGCACCCACCTCCCACACACCTGTGTCAGCGCTCACCTCCCACACACACCTGTCAGTGCCTCCTCCCACACACACCTGTGTCAGCGCTCATCTCCCACACACACCTGTGTCAGCGCTCACCTCCCACACAATCTATGTCAGCGCTCACCTCCCACACACACCTGTGTCAGTGCCACTTCCCACACACACCTGCACAGTGCTCACCTCCCACACACACCTGTCTCAGTGCCACCTCTCACACATACCTATGTCAGCGCTCACCTCCCACACACACCTGTGTCAACGTTCCTCTCCCACACACACCTGTGGCAGCGCTCCCCCCCCACACACTCCTGTGCACCTGTGGCAGTGCCACCTCCCACTCACACCTGTGTCAGTGCTCATATCCCACACACCTGTGTCAGTGCCACCTCCCACACATACCTGTGTCAGCGCTCACCTCCCACACACACACCTGTGTCAGTGCCACCTCCCCCACACCTCTGTGTCAGCGCTCACCTCCCACAACCCTGTGTCAGTGCCACCTCCCACACACACCTGTGTCAGTGCCACCTCCCTCACACACCTGCACAGTGCTCACCTCCCACACACACCTGTGTTAGCACTCACCTCCCACACACACCTGTGTCAGTGCCACCTCCCACACACACCTGTGTCAGCACTCACCTCCCTCACACACCTGTGTCAGTGCTCATATCCCACACACCTGTGTCAGTGCCACCTCCCACACATACCTGTGTCAGCGCTCACCTCCCACACACACACCTGTGTCAGTGCCACCTCCCCCACACCTCTGTGTCAGCGCTCACCTCCCACAACCCTGTGTCAGTGCCACCTCCCACACACACCTGTGTCAGTGCCACCTCCCTCACACACCTGCACAGTGCTCACCTCCCACACACACCTGTGTTAGCACTCACCTCCCACACACACCTGTGTCAGTGCCACCTCCCACACACACACCTCAGTGCCACCTCCCTCACACACACCTGTGTCAGTGCCACCTCCCTCACACACACCTGTGTCAGTGCCACCTCCCTCACACACACCTGTGTCAACACTCACCTCCCACACATACCTTTATCAGCGCTCACCTCACACACCTGTGTCACTGCTCACCTCCCACACACACCTGTGTCAGTGCCACCTCCCACACACCTGTGTCAGTGCTCACCTCCCACACATACCTGTGTCAGCACCCACCTCCCTCACACAGCTGTGTCAGCACCCACCTCCCTCACACACCTGTGTCAGTGCCACCTCCCACACACACCTGTGTCAGCACTCACCTCCCACACATACCTGTGTCAGCGCTCACCTCCCACACACACCTGTGTCAGTGCCACCTCCCTCACACACCTGTGTCAGTGCTCATATCCCACACACCTGTGTCAGCACTCACCTCCCACACATACCTGTGTCAGCGCTCACCTCCCACACACACCTGTGTCAGTGCCACCTCCCACACATACCTGTGTCAGTGCCACCTCCCACACACACCTGTGTCAGCACTCACCTCCCACACACACACCTGTGTCAGTGCCACCTCCCACACACACCTGTGTCAGTGCCACCTCCCACACACACACCTGTGTCAGTGCCACCTCCCACACACCTGTGTCTGCCCACCTCCCACAACCCTGTGTCAGTGCCACCTCCCACACTCACCTGTGTCAGTGCCACCTCCTCACACACGTCAGTGCCACCTCCCACACACCTGTGTCAGTGCTCACCTCCCACACACACCTGTGTCAGTGCCACCTCCCACACACACCTGTGTTAGTGCCACCTCCCACAACCCTGTGTCAGTGCCACCTCCCACACTCACCTGTGTCAGTGCCACCTCCTCACACACGTCAGTGCCACCTCCCACACACCTGTGTCAGTGCCACCTCCCACACACACCTGTGTCAGTTCTCACCTCCCACACACACCTGTGTCAGCGCTCACCTCCCACACACCTGGGTCAGTGCCACCTCCCACACACCTGTGTCAGTGCCACCTCCCACACACACCTGTCACTGCCCACCTCCCACACATGCCTGTGTCAGCACCCACCTCCCACACACACCTGTGTCAGCGCTCACCTCCCACACACACCTGTGTCAGTGCCACCTCCCACACACACCTGTCTCAGCGCTCACCTCCCACACACACCTGTCTCAGCGCTCACCTCCCACACACCTGTGTCTGCCCACCTCCCACACAGACCTGTGTCTGCCCACCTCCCACACACACCTGTGTCAGTGCTCATATCCCACACACACCTGTGTCACTGCCACCTCCCACACACCTCTGTGTCACTGCCCACCTCCCACACATGCCTGCATCAGCGCTCACCTTGAAGTATTTGCGGCGCATCCGGGTCATGTTCATCAGCATCACCCCGGAGTTCACCCCGGTCTCCCCGTAGTACGGGTGTCTGGCGAAGCGGTTGTACCATCCGATTCGAGGTTCCTCGTGTTCTGGGGCCATCGCAGCAATTTGTGTGGAATTAAATTTCTTTAGTAAAGACCAGATATCATCAACAGGCCGTAAAAAAAGGATATCAGTGTCGACATACAATAGTGAGTCAACTTCCTTCAGGATTAACTATGAGGAAAGACATTGGAATGATTAACAATAATAAGCCTAGGAATTTAACAAAAGACAACAAAAGAGGTTTTACTTGTAAAAGAATTACCTAAGACATTAAGCTAACTTAAATAAACTTCCAAAAAATACACTGTCCTACACCTGTCACTTTGACAGCATACACGAGGAAACGGTGCTGATGTGCACACAGGCTGAGCACCCCCTGACCTGCAAACCAAGACCGTCTGAGCCCCGACAGGAACGCCCAGGGAGCTGTGGACTTGGGGCACTGCAGACTTGCGGATCAAGGCCACCCAACCTGAGTTTCAAAATCCAGAACACTCCAAAATCTAAAGGGAAGCGAGGGAAACAAACCGGAATGAAAACCTGCAACCACAACGGGGACGCAGAAAGTGACAAGCGAGGAAATGTTCCAGTAACAGAAAACGTCGACCTGGGGGGAGCTGCGTCCCAGACCCGGGCTCCGCAGACAGACGTAGGAACCAGCGCACGCTGCCGGGGGCTCCTGTGCTAGCATGGGTACCGCTGACCCCCGGCCCCTCCCTCCGTGCACACAGTCCCCTACGAATCACAGCGTCTCAGGGAGGTGGCAGGGCTGCGCTTCCCCGGAGCGGCTCAGTCTCCAGCGCGTGCCTTCCAGGGGGCCTCACAGGGCTCTCTGCCCTCTGCCTCACCCACGTCCCTCAGGTCTAGCACCCTGCCACCCTGCGCGCACGGTGTGTCCTAGTCTGTTAGTGACATTCGGTGGAGAGGCCAGCCTGAAGCTTCCCAGTTAGGAACACGACGAGAACAGGGGCCTGACCCTCACTGTGATGCAACGGAAGTGTAGCCAGCACGTCCCCGGCGGCCACGAGGCCGACGTCACCGTGGCTCTGGAGTTCACGGCGGGCTGACGCAATGGCTGAGGAAAAGATGGGATCTCGCAGGGCTTCAGAGTTAGGATGCTCAACCCCCGAGCTGCGGGGCCTCCCTCTGCTCCTGTCTCTCTCTCGGCCTTCCAGATACATACAAAAACTGTACGGGCTTGGAGAAGTGTGTGGCTGGCTGTTCCTGCCACGGACACCCTGCTCCTGCGCTGGACACACGCTGACCCAGCCAGTGTGTCGGCGGGAAGTGCCACGCTCAGGATCGGAGCTGCAGGGCTGAGGAGCTACCTGCTCTGGGGACGAGGGACTGGCACGGTTTGCGTCCCTTCTCTTCGCCCATCTCCAAGGAAGGGACACTCAGCCAACAAGCTCATCACCAGGAAAAGCAGAGCACCGGTTTGTGCGACTATGACCGAAAAGCAGCAGAAGCGACAGCAGAGGGTGAGGACAGTCCCACAGGTTTCAAGTATTCTATCGCAGAACTTAGAATCCCACATAGGAATTTAACTGGACGAGCCCCGGCGCTTTCCTTCGGTCACTCGTGGTTTTCGGGTCCCAACTCTGGTGATTTCTGGTCCGAGCCCTGACTGCAGGTTGGACACGGGCAGCCTGCCTGTCCTGCTCAGTGCTGCCCAGCCAGCAAGCCGGCACAGAAGGTGGGCACGACACAAGCCGGCGTCACCAGTCATGCAGATGTGACACTGCAGCAAGTGAACACGCAATTCAATATGAAAACACAGAAACCTACTTCAGAGAGTGTCTGAAATTTCTTATGCTTGTTAACTGATCTTCACCCCTTATTTGCAAGCTTTTCATGGTGGATGGGGAGACGGGAAGACCCTGCCCCCACCTGTTTTTAGGTGCAGCAGCAGACACTGGCTAGGCTGACACGGGTATCAGAGTTCTAACTTGAGGGGCCGGCGTCGGTGACATAGCAGACAGAGCTACTACCTGTAACACCGGCATCTCACATGGGAGCAGGTTCGAATCCTGGCTGCTCCACTTCCAACCCAGCTCCCTGTTAATGGCCTGGGAAAAGCAGCAGAGGGTGGCCCAAGTGCTTGGGCCCTGCCACACCCATAGAAGACCCAGATAAAGCTCCTGGCTCGTGGCTTTGGCCTAATTCCTGGTCATTATGGCCATCTATGGGATGAACCAGCAAGTCAAAGACCTCTCTAACTCTTCCTTTCAAAATAAAAAAGATCAATCTCTTAGGAAAAAAACCTAGCTTGAATTTAAAGCTCACTGACACCCAGGTTTCTTAATCCCTAAGGATTACTTTAATCTATTTAGCAATAGCAAGCAACTCAAAATTCTCCCCCATAACTCATACTTTCCAGAAATGTGTATACTTCTTAACTCAGTTTTTCCATCATCATAAATATTTTTAATCCTTTTAAACACAAAAAAATTTAAAATTAGTCTGAACAACGTCTGTAAATTCTAGAACTGTGCATGAAATCAACTCAAAAAGGAACAGATAATCTTGTTTCAAAATATTCTTAGTTTAAAAACAAAAAGCCCTCAGGGCTTCTCAGGGGAGACCACCCCCAAAGAACAGCCCTGCTGAACGCATGGCTCCCACTTTCCCTCTGAGCTCACAGAGGTGAACCGGAGCTGACAGAATCGGGCAGCACGAGGTCATGGCCCTCGCTTCCCGAGCCAGGCGGGGACCCTGCACGGGGGCCAGTGACACCCCGGACACCCTGCAGACGAAGTGTCCACAGCCACTGGGCATCCCCACAGAAGCTCCCCGAAGCGCCTGCGTGCGCTCGGGGCGGGGTTTCCTCTCCAGCCCTGCCCGGGCCTGCGGGGACTGAACGAGACTGTGCCCGTGCGCACTGCGCGGACAGCCGCGTGCAAGGGGTGCACGAGGGAAGGCGGACTCACAGGCAGGAAGAGTCTCTGCGAGGCGCAGGGCTTGAAGAGCTTCTTCCACTCGGCCGCGTTCTCCCGCGGGAAGGTGATGGGGTACAGCGTGTAGTTGAAGGTCTGCAGGAACAACCAGCTGTCAAGCTGAAACGGAAACGGAAAGCCGAGGCCTCAACTCCAACGTCCCGCTGGGCACGCCACAAGGCTCTCACCGTGAGACCCGAGGCGCCGGGGAAGCTACCAGGATGTGAGTCAGAAACTCAGGGCCTGGAGGAGCCCTGCAGGTGCACACCCTCCTTGGGGATGAACCCTCTGAATCCCTCGACAAACCGCCATCAGCAGGACTGCGACCAGCTGTACTGCCCCAGAGCTATGGTGGGCGACGTCCACTTTCAGGGTCAGACCAACAGAAAACTGCTTCAAAACTATTTGTCCACCCACGCAGTTTCTGGTTTTTTTTTCGTTTTTTTAATTGTGAAAGGCAGGCAGGCAGGCAGGCAGAGCTCCCACCTGCTCACACAGGCCCAGAACAAAGCCAGGAACAAGAGAACTCAGGCCAGGTCTCCCACATGAGCCGCACGGGAGCAACTACCGAGCCGTGACCTGCTGCCTCCCACAGGTCTGCCTGAGCAGGAAGCGGAGACCGGCAGCTGGAACCGGGAGGTGAACCCAGGCCCAGACACTCGGAGTGGGACGCAAGCAGCGCATCAGCACTTTGGCCACTAGGCCCGACACCACCCGGCCATGCAGCGTTCCCATGCATTCGTATCTCTAACGAAATATTATGAGATAAACCCAATGCCAGCTTAAAAAAAAAACACACCCCAAGAAGCAAAGCACGTCTGAAGGCACACTACCTCGGCAGCATCCTGAGTCACGTCCCGACAACGAACCATCTCAGGTCCACCTCAAGCCCCCGGAGCAGACACGGAGAGGGAAGAGGCCGCGACCACCTCTTCTTAGGCTGCGCCAGTGCGCTCCAGGGTAGTTTCAGGCAAGGTTTTTACTTCCGACACTGGTGCTTGAATTCACTTAAAGTTCTTCGTGTTTTTTTTTTTTTAATATATATTTTATTTATTTGAAAGGCACAGTTACAGAGAAGGAAGAGGGAAGGGGCGGGGGGGAGACAAAGAGACAGACAGAGACAGAGATCCTCCATCCGCTGGCTCACTCCCCAAATGGCTGCGACAAGCCAGGGCTGGGCCAGGCTAAAGCCAGGAGCCAGGAAGTTCTTCCGGGTCTCCCAAGTGGGCACAGGAGTCTGAGCACTTGAGCCACCTTCCACTGCTTTCCCAGGCACATCAGCAGGCGGCTGGATCGGAAGTGGAGTGGATGGGACTCCAACCCATGGCAAAATGGAATGCCAGCATTTCAGGCAGCGGCGTAACCCTCTATGCCACAATGCCAGGCACCTTGAAGACCTTTTTATACCATCTTCAAAATAAAAAATCTTAATCATTTTTCATTTAACGTTATGCACAATACCTAATCACCTTCTGTTTCTGTACCACAGGCACCGTCCACTCTAAATGTCTGCTATCCTTTCAGCAAAAAAAAAGAGCAAATATTCTCAGTGCTGGTGACTCCAGTGACAGAAAAACTAAGAAACACAAGTCACATGGCAGAGGCTCTGCCGACAGGGCAGGCTTGGACCCCTGCACTCGGAGCTGGGCAAGGATAGGGCAGGGCTGGGACTCATGGCATTGAGGGGAGAGGGTGGGGCTGGGACTCACTGCACTGCGGGGGGTGGGGCTGGGACTCACTGCACTGCGGGGGGGGGCTGGGACTCACTGCACTGCGGGGGGGGCTGGGACTCACTGCACTGCAGGGGTGGGGCTGGGACTCACTGCACTGGGGAGGGGTGGGGCTGGGACTCACTGCACTGGGGAGGGGTGGGGCTGGGACTCACTGCACTGCAGGGGGTGGGGCTGGACTCACTGCACTGGGAGGGGGTGGGGCAGGGACTCACTGCACTGCAAGGGGTGGGGCTGGGACTCACTGCACTGCAGGCGTGGGACCAGGCAGGATGGGGCAGGGCTCAGTGCACTGCACTGTCTTGCTATGTTTGCTGGGGTTTCCAGGTGGCAATGGTCTCTCACCACTCTTTTAACTGCTGGAGAAGATTAATTCCTCAGTATTTTAGGAAACAATCCAGATGAAGAGACCGAGACAATGAAGATTAAATATATAAAAAATACAGAAAGAGTTTTAAACTGTACACAAACCTTCATACCTCTTGGAATCAAAGACTTAACTGCAACACCAAACACCTGAGATCACTCAATACCCAAAAATCAATTAATTTAACATGGAAAAAAATTTTTTTTAAGTTAACAGATGGGGCCAGTGCTGTGGCGCAGCAGGTTAACACCCTGGCCTGAAGCGCCGGCATCCCATATGAGTACCGGTTCTAGCCCCGGCTGCTCCATTCCAATCCAGCTCTCTGCTATGGCCTGGGAAAGCGGTGGAATATGAACCAAGTCCTTGGGCCCCTGCACCCACGTGGGAGACTCGGAAGAAGCTCCTGGCTCCTGGCTTCGAATCGGCACAGCTCTGGCTGTTGCAGCCAATTGGGGAGTGAACCATCGGATGGAAGACCTCTCTCTCTCTCTCTCTGCTTCTCCTCTTTCTGTGTAACTCTTTCAGATAAATAAATAAATCTTTAAAAAAATGAACAGAATTAACCAAGCATGACAGTTCTAATCAGTCTGAAACTGAATCAGTGGAGGGGCAGGGACGAGAGCGGCTCCGCTCCTTGTTCTCGCCCACCCACTGGCATCTCGCAGCGTCCTTGTCCCTCTCCCTGTGGCTGCTCCTCTCCTGTACAGCCATAGCTCCTGGGCAGCAGGACTTTTATTCTGTAATAGTTGGGATCCATTTGGCTGTGGTCACACCCACCCATGCAGTCCTTCTTCACTCCTTCCTCTCCTCAGCTTGCAGAGAGCACACGTCCAACAGCTGGAGCCCGAGTGACCATCTTGGACCAGAGGATGCAAGTCCCATGCTGAAAACGGCTCAGCCACAGTCTGAAGTGCCCAGATCCCTGACCGGGGAGAGATGCCACAGGACCCACACTGTCTACACTGCCATGGTCAAGCCACTGTTACCTTAGGTGTTCTGCCAACACAGCCAAACTGATCACAACTATTACAAAATAAAAGCATCTCACTCGTCAGAGCAGGGACCCACTTCCCTCCACATAGTGGATCAGGAACTCCTTCCACTCAAAACAGAAGTAAAGTCTTTATTTGGGGGTGGCACTGCGACACAGCAGGTAAAGCTGCTGCCTACAGCTCCAGCGTCCCACACAGGCACTGTTTGGTGTCCCGGCTGCTCCACTTCCCATCCAGATCCCTGGTGTGGCCTGGGAAAGCAGCAGAAGGTAGTTCAAGTGCTTGGGCCCCTGCACCCACATAGGAGACCCAGAAGAAGCTCCTGGCTTCTGACTGGCCCAGCTCTGGTTGTTGTGGCCACTGGGGGAGTGAACCAGGAGATGAAGGTTCTCTCTCTCTTTCTCTAACTCTGCCTTTCAAATAAAATAAATCCTTAAAATAAATTTAAACAAACAGAAAACCACATACTGCACCTACAATCAGCACAAGGACACCTGGACATATAGGACAAGGACATAAAGTGGCCAGTCCTGAGTCAAACAGAGCCTCCTCCTGGCCCTAGGACTGCAGCCTGGGGGGCGGGGAGTGGGCCGGGGCAGCCCCCACTCCAGGAGGGCACAGGCACAGCCTTGGCATCTCTGTTCAGTGCGCCACCACCCATTCACCTCCACCACCTGCACCGCGCCTCTGTACGTACTCTGCTTTTGAAGCTGGCGTGCAGCTGATCTTCAGCAAAAATGTGAAACTGCAGGGGTTTGATACTGAAGATGATGGCCGACTTCAGCATGGTCAGGGTCTCCTCCAGTCTCTCGCCACAGGCCACCACGGCCAGGTGCATTCTCTCCACAGGCTGGGTCTTCAGAACAAATCTGGTGGGAAAGAGAGCACCGCCCAGAGTTTCAGACACGCTCACCACGTTTCCAAACCCGGGCTCAAACACTCTGGTTGGAAAGCAGAGAAAGAAGAAATAACAAAACATCACGAGGTCGAACCAATCTCTGGGTCTGTGGTCTCAACAGGCCTTCCTCAACCACGGCCCCTCTAGGAACTACGGGGCACAGATAAGGGCGCTTTCTCCAGTCTCCAGGGAGCCCATCACGAGCATGACTCCGGGTGCGCAGGAGAGAAGAGATTCACGCACCAGGGCTGGATTCTCAAGGAACCCGTGAGGGCAGGGGGTCGATGCCTCGACGTGAAGGACTTGTATCCAGTTTTCAAAATCTTACAGAAACACAGACCCCTGAGCTCACTCTTACTCACCTACAAGGCCCGCCCCGGTTCCCTCTGCCACACGGGTTAGCGTGACGTGAACCCAGCCATAATCTCACCCACAAATGTGTCAGCATTATCATATCCAATCTTAAACCATGCTGATCACAAGAAAAAATTCCTTTCACATAACTTTTTTCAGTGATACACAGTCAGGCTCATTTAATCCAAATTCCAGGAAGAGATAAAATTATTTCTACAATGGTCCAAAAATACTGGTCAAACTCTAGTCAAGTCCTTTAGGTTTGAGGAAAGACTTCTTGAATTCAAGTTATCAGCCTAGGCTGTGTTAGAATCCACTCCTGGCACCAAGCACGAGAGCCCAACACCAGGTTTGCATAACTTTTAAAATCTCTGGCAGGGGCTGGCACTATGGTGTAGCAGGTAAAGCCGCCACCTGCAGTGCTGGCATCCCATATGGGTGCTGGTTCGAGTCCCAGCTACTTTACTTCCGATCCAGCTCTCTGCTGTGGCCTGAGAAAGCAGTGGAAGATGGCCTAAGTCCTTGGGCCCCTGCACCTGTGTGGGAGACCTGGAAGAAAATCCTAGCTCCTGGCTTTGGATTAGCCCAGCTCCAGCCATTGCGGCCGTTTGCGGAGTCAACCAGCAGATGGAGGACTTCTCTCTCTCTCTGCCTCTGCCACTCACTCTGCCTTTCAAATAAATAAATAAATAAATAAATCTTTTTTTTTTTTTTAAAAGCCTCTGGTTACTGCCATGCCACCTTCACCACACAACTAGTTACAGTATGAGCTTGGGTCTTTTTCTTTTAATTATTCATTTGTTTGGAAGGCAGAGAGACAAACCCATGGAGACACACACACAGCACTGCCGGATCCACTGGGGTTCCCTCCCCAGATGCCTACGATGGCAGGGGCTCAGCAAGCCAAACCAGGAACCTGGAAGCTCACGTTGGTCTCTCACGTGAGTGGCAGGGACTCAGGTGCTTGGGCCATCATCTGCAGCCTCCCAGGAACTTGAGCACGGAGCTGGATCAGAGCAGAGTACTGGACACTCCGACAGGGGATCCAGCCATTCTTGCGGGCAGCTGCCCTGCCGTGCCCTGACGGCGGTCCCACGCGCGCGTTGTTAATGCAGGCGCTCTACACAGTAGACCGCACACCACGCGCACCTTGTTAATACAGGCACTCTACACAGTAGACCACACACCTGCACCAACAAAGGAACTGCCCACCCGTTGCCCAGCCCTGGACCCCGACCACAGGAAAGGCAACGACAAAGGCAGAAACCCAAGGCGGCTCTGCGTGGACAGAACCGATGGATGAACTCAGAGCGGGCACGGGGAGGGAGCCGCTCAGGATCCTGGCTCCTGACGAACGGCGGACCTCGGCACTCTGTGTGGATCACAGTACGGAAAAGCCCTGCGGAGGGGAAGACATGCCATCCCAAAGGACACGTCTGACCCCTGCCTGCGCCTCTGTGGCAGCAGCAACAGAAGAAACGCCGCACAGCACTCAACGGTAGCAGCACAGCGCCCCCTGGCGGCACACGGCCCGGCCTGAGCAGAAGTGTGACAGCAACGAGTGACAGCGGGGCAGCAGACGGCCAAGGCTCAACTGTGCAGGCTGAGAAAGGCAAACTCCAAAACTGCCGCAGAGTCTGTCTCTCTCCCTTCGCTGCCTTACCCAAGACTTCCAGCAGGAGACAAAAAAGGGCTAACTGGGGACACTGCGGGGGGAAATGTACCACGTGACACCCTTTCACACAGAAGCTGCACATGGTAGCGGCCAGGGGACCCCCACAGCCGCACCAAGGCCTCGCACACCCGGGGCCTCGAGTCTCAGCTGCGGGCTGAGCTTGGATGCCCGGCCGGCTCCTTCACCTTAACAGGCGCACTTGGCTTCCCTCCACGGGACCTCTGCTGTTACACCTACCATCTGCCTGAGCTTCACTCACCTGCCCTCTGGCCCTCACCTTCCTACCCTCCGCTCCCACAGAGTAACAGGTCAGATTCCAAAACGAAGCCAGGAGTCAAAAACGAGATTGAATAAAATGGTAAAGGGTGAGCACTCTCCTTTACTTTTTTAAACTTAATTATTTGGAAGACGTAAGCAGAGGGAGAAACAGAGCGAGTGAAACTTTCTCTCTACTGGTTCCATCGCCGCACGCCTACGACGACGAGGGCGAGAATCCAAGTACGTGGGCCATCGTCTCCTACATCCCAGGCGCACCAGCAGGAAGCTGGACGGGAAGCGGGGGCTGGTGCCAGGCTCTGATACGCGACGCTGGCATCCCAAGAGACACTTTAACCCACTGCACCACAGTGCAGCCCAACCCTGCTTTTACACAATGAACACCAGGGGCCGGCACTGCGGTGTCGCGGGCAAAACCACCACCTGCAATGCTGGGGTCCCACGTGGGGGCCGGCTCATGTCTCAGCTGTTCCACTTCAGATCCAGCTCTGCTGTGTGCTGGGAAACCGGTGAAACATGGCCCAGGCGCCCGGCACCCTGAACTCATGTGGGAGACCTGGAGGAAGCTCCTGGCTGCTGGCCTCAGCCTGGCCCAGGCCCAGCCACTGTGGCCATCTGGGGAGTGAACCATAGGACAGAAAATATCTTTTTCTGTCTTTCGCTTCGTTTCTTTAACTCTTTCATGTAAACAAAATCAATATTAAAAAGAAAAAAAAAGGATGAACAGCCAGTAAATGCAGAAGGCAGGCAGAATCACAATCAGCCATGTAACAGGTTTCAGGACAAAAACAATCCACGAGGGGCCAGTGCTGCAGTGCCGTGGGATAAGCCTCCGTCTGCAGTGTCTGCATCCCACGTGGGCACCAGTTCAAGCCCTCGCTGCTCCACTTCTGCTCCAGCTCCCTGCTAACAGCCTAGGAAAGCAGCAGAGGATGGACCAAGTGCTTGGGAGACCTGGGAGAAGCTCCTGGCTTCCCATCAGTTTAGCTCCAGCTATTGTGGCCATGTGAGGAGTGAACCAGGGGATGGAAGATCTGTGTGTGTGTGTGTGTGTGTGTGTGTGTAACTAACTCTGCTTCTGAAATAAAATAAACCTTAAAAAAAAAAAAAAAAAAAGAACCCTTAACCCTTGCAGGGCGAGCACGGAGGCGCAGCAGGTTGTGCCGCCGCCTGGGACTCCCACACCCCATGTCACCGTGTGGCCTACTGGCTCCCAACCCAGACCCCTGCTAAGGTCCTCTGAGGCAGCACACGGTGCCCAAGTGCTGGGGAGCACCACCCACGCGGGAGAGCGGGACTGCGTTCTGGCTGCTGCTGCAGGCACCTGGAGAGCAAAGGGGCAGATGGGAGATTGTGTGTGTGTGTGTGTGTGTGTTTATATATCTGTATCTCTTTGCTCCTTTGCCTTTCAAACAAAGAAATCTTTAGGAAGCCAAGGAGGGTGCAGAGGAGGTCTCCAAAGATTCTCCAGGAGCCAGGTAAGCTCCTGGGAGGGCGAGGACCGGGGCTGTGTGTGTTTGAACAGGCGGTGAAATGTGAGGTGAGGATCGGCTGTACATCTCTGAGCTGTCACCTAAGGGACGATGCGTCTACCTAACCACGTCGTGATGCGTGCAGCGAGACCCGGACACATCTAGCAGGGAGTCCAGCTTTCAGAATCTCGAGCTGGGGAAAGCTACAGGCACGGGGCAGGCAGCACTGCAAAGCCATCCTCACACACCAGAATCCTCTCCCTGCAGAAGCGGAAACGACGGAGGGGAAGCAGGGCGGCGGCCCCAGGTCAGCTCCCTGGCAGCTCCTCGGCCAAGGAGCGGGGGAGGTGATTACCGCTCTTGCACAAGGTCAAGACGCACAGATTTTGAGTTGAGAAGCTGCAGGCCACAGGTGAAGCCCTGCTTGCCAAAAATCTACTCACTCGCATGCAAATTCCCTAAGAAACAAGATCTGGGCTCTAATTCTTTAAACAAACCACAGGGCAGGACTGCCTTTAAAAGCCAGCGTTCGCAAGGCGGAGGAAGCTGACCTGGACTGGCCCATATTAAAATTCCAAGCACCCAATCGCCTCGTAGCAATGAGAGGTAAGGAGAATAATCTGATTTCAGATTATTACTGCAGAACTGCCAGCAGTTCCTGGGACGTCTAAGATACTGGGGATGCGAGAACCTAACGACACATGCGACTAACAGATATCAGGAACACAGTCCCCATGCAGGGTTCCTCGTGGCGGGGGGCTCAGGGGAGGTGGGGGAGATGCTGGCCAGAGGGAGCAAAGACGCAGGGGGATGGGAGGAGTGTTTCGTCCAGTTCCACTGGGCGGCCACACTTCACCTCACTGTGCATTCAAAACCCACAAGAGAAAAGATTCTAAACGTTCGCACTACAAGTACATCTACATATATGTTGTATGTCTGTATGTGTGTATATACATGTATACACACACACGTGTGATGGATCTGTTAGTCAGCTTAATATGTAAGAATTCCAGGATGTATGCATACATCAAAACCTCACACTGTACCCAATAAATGCACATGATTATTAGTCCACTGAAAATAAAAGCTGAAATAAATGGATGTTTAAATGCAGGTCTCCCTGCTCAACCTCCTGTCCCGGAGCCTGGCTGACGGATGGTCTCATTAGCTGCTCCCTCCGGGAAGCCTTCCGTGATGCACCAGGAAGACTCCCACGGCAGCCTCAGGCTAACAGGTGGGAAAGCAAGTTCCGGAGGAGGGAGCCACAGTAACCTCACAGTCAGGTTCCCGGCACCAGCTCGGCACCGGGCACCGCAGGGAGCAGAACAAGTGCCAGTGGATCGCAGGGACACAGGACAGGCACAGCGAGGGCATCACAAGCCACGGCCCCCGCTCCCCACCCCCAGGACCTGTTCCTCCCAGTGAGGAGGAGACGGAGAGGGGTTCCACACCTTCGCCATCTAGGGACGGGGGCACAGCCGAGCTACCCAGCCCCTCGCACGGCCACACAATCGGCTGCTTCGTCAGGAGCAGGCCATCAGCCTCCGGGTCCCCGGGGCCCAGGCTCCGCCCAGAACCAGTGGAATCGCTCCTTCCCGTCCCCAGCCACCCACAGTTTTTTTTTTTTTTTTGGAACCAACTTCAAATGTCATACACACACACATATACACGCACGTGCACACATATATATACACACACATACATACATATATACAGACATGCACATACATGCATATACATGTGTATATATGCGCGCACACATCCACGCACCTATGCATACACATGCACACGCATATACAGACATGCACACACATGAATATACACACACACATATATGGGCACACATATACATGCACACATATAAACATATACATATACACACACATGTATATGCACACATACACGTATATATGCACACACATATACACATGCACACATATACAAACACATGCACATATATACATACACATATATACACATATACATGCACATGCACATAATATAGACATGCACACACATGAATATACACATACACGTATATGTGCACACATCTATACACATGCACACATATACAAACACACGCACATATATACATACACACATATACACATATACATGCACATATGCACATACACATGCGCACACACATGCACACGTGCACATATACATACACATGCACATATATACACATATGCATACACATGCACACAATATACAGACATGCACACACATGAATATACACATACACGTATATATGCACACATACACACATACATGCACACGTGTATGCACACATATAACATGTGCATATACACAGACGCACACATGTATACACACACATACATGTATATATGCACACATCTATACACATGCTCACATATATACACATATACACGCACATATGCACATGCACATGCGCACACACATATATACACATATAAAAACACATGCACATATATACATACATACATACACATATACATGCACATGTGCACACACATACACATATATAAACACATACACACATCTTACGATGCATGTTTACAACATTTATGTATTATGATTTATAAATATATACGTAAACACATGGACACCCACATCCGTGAATGTCGGCCACAGCCGCTCTTCACCACTTTTTCTCAACAGTATCCCTGCTACTTCAAGTCAGGTCAGAAAGAGCCCTCAAAACAACGGCTGACCTCATGCACACCTACAACAAGCTTCCAGGACATTCCCATGGACTAGAAACGGGACGGCAACCACGCCGCGGGGAAGAGAACGCCTGATCAGGAAAGGAGTTATCCCCTCGTGTGACGGTCTGCAAAGACAAGAATCGCGCTGGCAGGCCGGGACGGGCTACCTCGTCTTACCTACGGCTGGTGCCTACCTAAAAGACGCTTCCCAAAAGCAGTTCATTCCACAAACACCAGAGGGCAGCATCCAATAGGGATTCCAGTAACACACAGGGACGTCGGCACACCTGACGGAGCAAGACAGAGAGGAGAGTCCCGCGTGAGAACTGTGGTTTGGAACTCCGCGACCAATAACCCTCCTGGTCTACCTCACAGCCACCGAAACTGCAAACCGAGGTTGCTATGGCAACCTGAGGTTTTTGTTGAAAACGGGTTTCTCCCTTTCACACAGCACCAGTGTACTTTAAAACTCAGGTGCAACAGATGACAGTCCGGAAGCGAGTTTTCCCTTGGGGAAGGCTCCTGATCGGTTCACATCCCCTCCTCCCACAGCAGACAAGCTCTGTCTCCTATGTCGCTCTTCAAAGACTGCATATTCCCTGCAAACAAAATCCACCCTGGCCCGAGAAAACACCTGCTCTTCCTGAAATGAAATGAAAGGGGCGCCGGAGCCGGCAGAAGGGAGCCATGCTCAAAAGGCGTTCAGGTTGATCCTAAGTCTGAGCTGCTGCCGCGGGGCTGCACAGGAGAGACGGGACAGAGATGACGCGGGACCACAGGGGGACCAGGCCTGCAGCTCCTGCCGTGGGGCTGCACGGGAGAGACGGGGACAGGGATGACGCGGGGACCACAGGGGGACAGACCCTGCCACTCCTGCCGTGGGGCTGCACAGGAGAGACGGGACAGGGATGACGCGGGGACCACAGGGGGACCAGGCCTGCAACTCCCGCCGTGGGGCTGCACAGGAGAGATGGGTCAGGGATGACACGGGGACCACAGGGGGACCAGGCCTGCAGCTCCTGCTGTGGGGCTGCACGGGAGAGACGGGGACAGGGATGACGCGGGGACCACAGGGGGACCAGGCCTGCCACTCCCGCCGTGGGGCTGCACGGGAGAGACGGGACAGAGATGACGCGGGGACCACAGGGGGACCAGGCCTGCAGCTCCTGCCGTGGGGCTGCACGGGAGAGATGGGTCAGGGATGACGCGGGGACCACAGGGGGACAGACCCTGCCACTCCTGCCGTGGGGCTGCACGGGAGAGACGGGACAGAGATGACGCGGGGACCACAGGGGGACAGACCCTGCCACTCCTGCCGTGGGGCTGCACAGGAGAGATGGGTCAGGGATGACACGGGGACCACAGGGGGACCAGGCCTGCAGCTCCTGCTGTGGGGCTGCACAGGAGAGACGGGGACAGGGATGACGCGGGGACCACAGGGGGACCAGGCCTGCAGCTCCTGCCGTGGGGCTGCACGGGAGAGACGGGACAGAGATGACGCGGGGACCACAGGGGGACCAGCCCTGCCACTCCCGCCGTGGGGCTGCACAGGAGAGATGGGTCAGGGATGACACGGGGACCACAGGGGGACCGACCCTGCCGCTCCTGCCGTGGGGCTGCACAGGAGAGACGGGACAGGGACCAGCGACAGCGAGAGGCCAGTCTGGGTTCCTCGGGTTGTACCAGCTAAAGGGGAGGATCAAGTGTGGCCTCTTCTCAGACTGTAGGTCGGTGCTGACACCTCATGTTGCAACAACTATTTCTCTCTTGAAGGTTCCTTTTCAAAACAAGAGTCTAAGGTTCCCTGTGCCAGCACAGGCCTGGCTGAGACAGAGGAAGCGGAACGCCCAGCCAGGCCACCCCGGCCCTCATTCTCTCCATGAGGCCTAACTCACTGCTCTTTCATCAAAAGGTTAAAACCAACAGGAGGCCGGTGCTACGGCTTACTTGGCTAATCCTCCGCCTGTGGCGCCGGCACTCCGGGTTCTAGTCCCGGTTGGGGCACCAGTTCTGTCCCAGTTGCCCCTCTTCCAGGCCAGCTCTCTGCTGTGGCCTGGGAGTGCAGTGGAGGATGGCCCAAGTGCTTGGGCCCTGCACCCCATGGGAGACCAGGAGGAAGCACCTGGTTCCTGACTTCGGATCGGCGCAGCGCGCTGGCCGTAGCGGCCATTTGCGGGGTGAACCAACGGAAGGAAGACCTTTCTCTCTCTCACTAACTCTGCCTGTCAAAAAAAAAAAAAAAAAAAAAGGAAAAAAGTTCCATGGCGTTGACTGGACAGCATGTTCAAGCACAGGACTGGAAAACCCGCGAAGTCACTGAACCCACAACTGCTTGAGAGAGCTCATGCCTGCACCCTGCTGGCCAACGTGGCACAGGCCTCAGGTCCTAACCCCACACCAGGGAGGGGACTGGGGCCCGCAGCAGCCAACATCGTCCTGCTCACTCACAGGCACGTGCCTCCGCTCCATGACAGCCAGCACAGAGCACTGTGCTAGGAGGAGAACCCCCGCCACTCCTCTGGTCACAAATGTCAGATCTCAAAGAAAACTCCCCAGAACGGCTGCTTCAAGTTACATGCCTGTAAGGACACCACTTCCTGCCTCGATCTGCACTTTGCTCGGCTCACCTGTTGACAATGCGGACGCAGGACCCTAGCCAAGCCCCAGCCCAGGCTCCTCCGAGGCCCTCCACCTGACCAGAGCCCCAGCAAGGCTGCACATCTGACCTGATAACAGAGCTGTGGGGCAGCGAGGGGAGATTCGGAAAACAGAGCTGTGGGGCAGCGAGGGGAGATTCGGAATTTGCTTAACTCAAGGCATTGCTGCTTCTCTTAAACACAATCCTATTTACTTATTACAAAACATGTGTGGGATGTAGCAGGTAAAATCACCACCTGTGACACCAGCATCCCATAATGGCGCTGGTTCAAGTCCCAGCTGCTCCACTTCCGATCCAGCTCTCTGCTGTGGCCTGGGAGAGCAGTGGAAGATGGCCCAAGTGCTTGGGTCCCGGCACCCACGTGGGAGAACTGGAAGAAGCTCCTGGCTCCTGGCTTTGGCCTGACCCAGCCCCGGTCATTATGGCCACTTGGGGAGTGAACCAGCGAATGGAACACCTCTTTCTATCCCTCTCTCAACTCCTAACTTTCAAATAAATATATCTTTAAAAAGTTTCAGGGTTAAACTCTGTAGTTTTTACAAATACCCCACTTGATACATGTTTATCAGAACATTTTCAACAGCCTAGGAAACAAATCATGCACCACCTGCAACATCGTGACACATACTGAAACCAAGGGACCTCAGCCGGAGCTGAGAGGCAGGCCGGGAACTGCACCCAGGAAGCAGTGCAGTAGGCACTCCTGCCTGCGCGTGCGGAGCAGATACAGAACTGCACCGCTCCTGCAGATACAGAACTGCACCGCTCCTGCGGCCCACAGTGCAGTCACGCGTCTGAATCTGGAGCAACCCTGAACACACCGAAAGCCCTGCAGTCCTGCTAGGCTCAAACGGGGGAGGGGGGAGGAGTAGAGGAGATTCCCTCCCACTTGCCCAGCCAGGAACAGGCATGGAGCCCCTCACCCAGAAGCTAGGAGGGCAGGTGGCCCTGCACAGCGCATTTCCAGGCCCTGACTTGGAGGTACAGCAGCTTCTACCTCCCTGATGCTCAGAACCCTTGAGCCCAGCGTCCACGCTGTAAGACGCCCACAGTGTATGAAGAAGCCAGCTGGGGGGCAGCAGGCCAACAGCCCCAGCCCAGAGCCAGCACCACCCCCCACCACGTGCACTGCCCAGCTCTGTGCTAACCCACGGGCTCCTCCACCCATCCCCACCGCGAGTCCCCCTCTGCTATCAACTCCCAGGCCCCTCTATGCCTTCAGTCATTCATACGCTGGATGACCACCTACACAGCCAAACACTGGAAACACAACAACTGGCAAAATGGACACGGGGAGCTGACAGCTGCCATCCAATCCTGCAATACAGGAGCCCTGCCAGCAGCAGCCAGGTTCCCTGATCTCCAGTTCCAGTGACTTCCACCTGCCTCTCTCGAGCTCTGGCTAAGTGTCCTGACCACAATTCCCTGTCGGAAAACACAGCAATTGCAGAAGGGATATTTTTTTATTCCTTTACACTCCAGTGAAAACACAAGCTACTACTTACAAAAATCCTAAAACCCAACAGCAGCCAGTGCGGGGTGGCATTCAGTATTGCATAAATAGGAAAATCTGTTTAGGGGCCAGCGCAGTGGCGCAGTAGGTTAATCCTCCACCTGCGGCACCAGCATTCCATATGGGCACCGGTTTTAGTCCCGGCTGCCCCTCTTCCGATCCAGCTCTCTGCTGTGGCCTGGGAAAGCAGTAGAGGATGGCCGACGTCCTTGGGCCCCTGCACCCACGTGGGAGACCAGAAGAGCTCCTGGCTGCTGGCTTCAGATCGGCACAGCTCGGGCCGTTGTGGTCATTTGGGGAGTGAACCAGCGGATGAAAGACCTTTCTCTCTGCCTCTCCCTCCCACTGTCTATAACTCTATCTCTCAGATAAATAAATAAAATCTTTTTTTAAAAAAGGAAATCTGTTTAAAGTTTTTTAACTTATAAATATCCATTGTTCTACTCTCTTTTTGAATTTACTTATTTGAGAGAAAGAGAGACTGAGAGGAGGGAGGGAGGGAGGGAGGGAGGGAGGGAGGGAGGGAGGGAGGGAGCGTGGTGGGAGAAGAGACGTAGAGAGAGACTGCCCTACCCCACGTGCTGACTCACTTCCCCAGCATCGGCTGGAGCAGGGCTGGGGCTGCAGACAGGAACCAGGAGCCGATTCCCATCTCTCACTGGCGGCAGGGCCCCGGGACTGCTGCTTTCCAGGGTCTGCATGCGCAGGTGCCAGGGGCCGAAATCAAACCCAGGCACTCTGGGGAGACAGAGTCTCAGCTGCCGGGCCAGCCTGCTCTGCCCATCTCCCACTTCATAGAAAACTGGTTCTGCAGACCAAGAAAGAGCAGAAACTGACCCGGAGAACTCATTACCCACCAGGAAGTGTGCAAGCAAGCAACAAAAGTCAGCAAAAACAACTGATCGGAAGACAGACACCCTCCAGCTTTCCCAGCCAAAGTCAACTTTCAAAGCAGTGAACACAGCCAGGTGGCTCTCCAGGTCCTGGTCATCGGTCACTTAAACTGCTTCCAGTGGCTCCCACCTGTCCGACACCCACATAGGAGGCTTCTCTCAACAACTGTACCAGGAAGGGGAGGGGTCAGGGAGCTGAGTGGGGACCCAGAAGCAGAACTC